TTTAAATAGTAAGCAATTGCAGACACTTTTAAATCCTGGCTTAACTAAGCCTTAACTAGTTAAATTTAATTTTGGTTCTCAAGCCATTGAAATCATTCATCAGGCTCTCAGCCTGCTAAACAACTAATTCTGACTCTCAGCCAGTAATACACAAATAAGGCTCTCAGCCAATCAAATACAAATATCCGGCTCTCAGCCAATCATACACAAAGGCTCTCAGCCAATCATACACATGGGCTCTCAGCCATTCATTACAAATATTAGGCTCTCAGCCTGTCATAACACAAATCAAATACTCAGCCTTACAATACAAAGTCTCAGTTCTGACTCCCAGTCAGAATTCCATCTAAATGTCATAACACAAATGCACCTGAAAAAGTCTAAATATCAAAATTAACAAGGAGTACTATTACATTGGAGAAAAATTTTACTCCAGCGAAAACACTTTCTTTTTAAGACCCTGCAATGAAAAAATTTCTTGGTTTGTCATATTCAATATAGTCAATCACAAAATTTTTGAATTTTCCATCTGAATTTACCAACATGGACCAAAAAAGTGAGGATGTCCATTTTGGCACAACAAGTGTACCATGCGCTTTACACAAACCTAAATGATTAATAACATCTGGAATAAGAGAAACTGGAGAAACGATCCAAGAGTTAAATTTTTTCCAATTGAAACCAAATGCATCGACCCCAGAACTCCCTGGCGTCCAGAATTTACTAAAAAACTTTTTTACCTTGAAATTGTTACAATCTGCAAAAAGATCTACATCATAGGGCCCCCATTTTTTACTGAAAAATTGAAATATAATATCAGAAACAGACCAGTCATCAAAATCATAAACTTTGCTATAACAATCTGCTACACTATTTTCCTCTCTAGGAATCCACTCAACTTCTAATGTTACTTGATTCTGAATACAAAAAGCATAAATATTAAGTGCAATATCATGGAGCTCTTTTTTCATGCTACCAGAATTAACTATCTTAACTACATTTTGATTGTCAGTATAAAGTTTTACAGTTCTGTTGCTAATCTTATCTGTAGAAGATATTAAAGTTGTCTCTACTGCTTTCATCTCCCTCCAGGTAGAACTCTTTAGAGCTTCCACAGAAGTCCACATTTTATGCACTACACTATCTGCGAGTTCCACAATGTAACCAGCCGCTGCATACTTGCTTGCATCCGTAAAAACGATCCTTTGAGGAATGAAACTGCCTTTAAGAAAACATTTAGATGGCAAACATTGTAAATTGCGCAACCAGAAATTAAGTTCAGTCACAATTTCATCTGAAAGAACAATACAATGATCCCAAGAAACTGAATTGGCAATAACCATATGCATAACTCTTGTCATAATAGAACATACATTTCCTAAGGATTGCTGGAAAGAAATTATGTTTCCAGCTATGCTAGCTAGAACACGTGGAGTAATTTTCTCGGATGAAATAACTTCCCTGATTTTGCCTAATAATTTATCAATTTTAGATTGAGGTATGAAAAGCATACCATGTACAGTATCCCAAGAAAACCCCAACCATTCCATTGATTGACAGGGAGTCCAAATACTCTTATCCTCGTTAACCAAAAAACCTGCTGAAATTAAGTCTGCTTTAATAGCTGAAGACATAACTTTACATGATTCTAGATCGTTTGCTAACCCAAATCCATCATCTAAATAAACAACAATTTTATGACCTTTTGCTCTCCAATATTTCAACAAAGGCTTGAGCAGCTGTGTAAAAATAAAAGGAGCAGAGCTCAAACCAAAAGGAAGTACCGTGAAAGAATAATAGGTACTTTTCCAACAAAAACTCAAAAATTGAAAATGCAATGGATTTATGTCCAAATGATGATAACCGCTCTTAAGATCAAACTTGAACATAAAGTCATTTTTCTTGCAAAGTTTGATAGCGCTGCTAACACCCTCTAACTTAAATTTATTTTTTCGTACGCATTTGTTAACATGTCTAAGATCCAAAATAAGTCTTTTCTTGCCATGAGAATTTATAGAAACTGACAAAGGATTAACTATAGAAGGAACAGTACTACACCTTACAATGACTTTATTGCCTAACAAACTTCTTATTTCGTTGTCTACAAATTCCTCATGATCAAGAGAAGACTTATTGTTATGCAAAATAATCGTCTCTGGAAAACAATCAAAAGGAATACTATAACCATACTGAATAGTGTCAACTATATATTGTTCAGCATGCAATTGTTCTTTCCAAAAAGAAATGTTTTTTACTAATCTCCCTTTAACCGTTTGTAAATTAACATTTTCTTTTTCACAAGACAAAATATCTTTTACCAGTTTAGGTTCTTTGGTTATCTGTGGAGGGTCCGGTTTGTGTTGAAGTTGGCTTGCCGATCGCGAAAGGTTGGCTCTTTTTCTTGAGGGGACAGTTGACACTCCAGTGCCCGAACCCATTGCAATACAGGCATTGGTCTGGTTGTATTCTGTATGGGCTTGGTTGTGATCCTCCGAAGTTCCCGTATGAACTAAACTGCCTGGTGTAAGGAGTAAATCTTTGCTGGAAAAATTTGCTGCTATCTGTACGAAAAGGATTATTATAATTTCTTTTGTCAAACCTTTTCCTTTTAGCCCTGGCTTCTGCTTGCCGGAGTCGTTGACTTTCCTCTGTACTCTCCGTGATTGGGTCATCTTTGTACTCTTTAGCCACATCCCAGCCGTACTTATCTGCAATTCTTATAACTTTTTTCTGGTCGTTAATACGAAGAACAGCTTTTTTGATTATCTCTTTAGCATTCAAACTATCACCAAAGTCAATAAATTTATCAATACTTTCAAAGTCACTTTGTAAATCTGTTAAGAAGTTGTACCTTTCTTTGTGATGATCCAACTTAAAATCAACCGAACTTTCTCTGGATACACAAGTTGAATTTTTTGCTTCTAACTCCTTCAAAAGCAGCTTTTTGTTCTCTGCTAAAGCTACGTCTAACTTGCGGGAAAACAATTGGAATGCCTCTGCGTTAGTAAGGTCTTCATTCAAAGTTTGCGAACGGTTGCGGCTAGCCTCATTGTTGTTAGACGGACGTCTTTTTGGCTCATGAGGAACACTTTTCCCCGGGCTACCACGTGGAGATGGCTCACTATCTGAATCGGACAGATTCATCTATGTATCTAACTGATACGTAGTGGCTAACTTGTCGAATGACAAAAGAACACAAAACACGAGTTTAAATACCCTTGGACCGGTTCACCGCGTGCCGCAAAATAGACCCCAAAAGATATTTAAATTATTAAAGCACATACGTAAGATAAATAGAAATTACCAAAGTAATACATACTGACTTGATAGCCGAACCACTACACCCGCCGCCCCGCACGCCAAAGGAACCAGGTTCAACTCCCAGGAACACCAATCATTTTTTTTTTTTTTTTTTTTTTTTTTAATAGTCATTAATTAATAATGTAACCGAAAAGAAATTTATATATCTGTTGATGTTTGAGTGACCTTAACAAATGTACCGCATCGTCGCAAACCACGGCCAAAATTTACGATCCTATCCCATTTTGGGAGAGAGCTATATGCGGACTCCGGACCGTTACTTGAGACGAAAAGCTTTGTGGAAACTTTGATTAGTGAGAGGAGCTCAGTGTTACAAAATTATTGACCAGTACTCTCGGGGCTGTCTGATCTGCTTTCGATTGCCTAAAGACTAATATAGTATAAAGTCTGTGCCTGAGTGACGATGACCGAGAATTTGCATAAAATCATTGAGTAGATGGTTAGGGGGAGATAACTTTAACATTTATCATAGGAATATTATGAAAAATTCTTGAGGAATGTTCTAGTGGGTTAAAAGTCATTTACCTTAATTTAGCAGCACATAATCATTTGAAAAAATTTCTATCAGAAAACTAATTGTGAGTTTGTACATGCATGTATATATATGTGCAAAAATATGGTACATGTAAAGGGAAAAAGACTTTTTTGAGTCACAATAAATCAGCTTTACTGGACTTGGTCATTCAAATGTTAAGAGACGAGTGTTACTTCAAATAATTTCAGATGCTGGTTAACAAGGCAACTCAGTTTCAAAAATGATTGTTCACTGTTAATACTTTGTACAGTTCTATATCAATTAAAATGCTTTAAATAGAAGAATTCCCCTTCCAGCGATTGAATTCGTAGAATTTAAGATAGGTAAAAGAAAATTTTGAGTGGTAAAATAAAACGACTGTTCTCTGATTTCAGAGGATGCCAATAGTTGGTAACTGTACAATCACTGATAAAGTCAGACAATTTTACAGTACATGATTGTAAGAAATGTTGATTTTTAATCCAGTGACTACTAGTATATTAGAGAGATAGCTGTAAAATAAATTGACAGAAGTAAAACTGCATCTGCATGTAAACAGGTCTATAACATCATAACAGATCCTTTAAACTGGCCCTACAGATATAGGTATGTTGACCTGTAAATCAAGATTCACCTCATACTTCGGTTTCTTTTGAATTTCATAGGCAATACATTGAATTCTTTTGATATTATATTATTAATCATATTAAGAATAACTTAATTTTGATTTAATAGGCCGAGCGAAATTTATGAAACTTACAGAACACCACAACAAATAAAAAATGAAAATAATTCTCTCGTTAATCGTTTATTAACAAGTAATTTTAAAAATAAGAAATAATTATAAAAAAAAAATTCATCAAAAGAGCAAAATGCAAATCAAGACAAGGCCAATGATCTTATTAATCTTCATATAACTTTTCTGACCGTTATTAATATAAAGAGACAGACATAAATCTGCCCATTATCTTTGAGCACACAGAGATGTTAGGAAACCAATGGAAAGGGATATTCACTATGTGTATACTATCCACCATTTCTTGGCGGTGGCTTAAAACATTCTATCAGACATATATTAGAGAGACTGGGTAAAAGAATTCGACAGAAGTGAAACTAAGCTATAGATATAGGTATCCTGATCTTTTATATAAAACTCAACAATATGTTATAGTTACCAAGTTTATTATATATACAAAAACACAAATTGGATCATGGGGACTGACAAATGGCTAATAGAACGTAAATTATACTGATCTACTGATTTGTTTGAACTGATGGTAAAACATAAGAAGCAAACAAGTAATAAGAAATGCACGTAGAAAACAAACTTTAAAGGTACTTGGACACAGATTTGAAGTTATTATTTTCTCTATAATATTACGACTTATATATTTTAATAGCATTTCACACAAAAATTAATTAAAAATCTTACTTCATATAAAAGATTCCCGTGGGGATCCGGGTTAGAATAGGTCCTCAGTACCCCCTTGCTTGTCGTAAAAGGCGACTAAATGGGGCGGTCCTTCGGATGAGACCGTATAAACCGAGGCCTCGTGTCACAGCAAGTGTGGCACGATAAAGACCCCTCCCTGCTCAAAGGCCTTAAGTGTCGGGCATAGGCCTAAATTTGCAGCCCTTCACCGGCAATGGTGACGTCTCCATATCAGTGAAATATTCTGGAGAGGGACGTTAAACAGTATACAATCAATCAATCAATCATATAAAAGATATTTAAATTTCAAATTTTTCGGCGGGTTTGATTGACACATCCTTGCACTTTCACAAAGTAATTTTATTCTTAATCCTTAGGAAAAGTGGCAATCTCGTTTTGTATAAATGAAAAATATTAATACTATAATCCAGAAAATTCAGAGTAGACATGTTCGAAACCAAAACAAACACACAATATATTGTCAGTCCGTGCAGTTGTGGTAAGCAGACTGTGACGATTGAACGCACCCGGTGAATTCTAAACATAAACAATAACAAAACTCGTGCCCTGTTTACAAAAACTGTGTACATAACACGAGTGTGCTCGATTTGCTAAATTCTGTACGCAACTCTTAGTTCGGAATGACGATACTTGTGAAGGAGTGATAATGTTAAAATTTGTGAAAGTGCAAGGATGTGTCAATCAAACCCGCCGAAAAATTTGAAGTTTTAATAACTTTTAAATGAAATAAGATTTTTAATTAATTTTTGTGTGAAATGCTATTAAAATATATAAGTCGTAATATTATAGAGAAAATATTGACTTCAAATCTGTGTCCAAGTACCTTTAACCCCTGGAGAAAATTTGGGAGTTATTGGTTAAAAACATCAAGACTCTCTCATCATTTCCCGTGCTTCTGTTTGCTTGAATTTCATTGGCAATGCATCAAATTCTTTTGGTATGATATTATGAATATCAAGATACAAAATGACTTAATTTTGATTTACTGAGCCGAATGAAATGCATGAAACTTGCAGAACACCATAACAAATAGATGAACAAGAAGACATACCGGTATACAAGTCATAAAATTTTATCCTGTAATTAAATTTTACATTCAAGCAGTCTTTTGATATTTTAAAAATAGGAAAGATGGGTTTAGTCTTTGCACAAAATTGACTTGGATATTTTACAAATTGTGCAGTTTTTCACCTGTAAAGGACAAGGTAGGTTAATGGCCTAATCTGGCCCCTTATTTGATGTAAAAATCAGAACACTGGTGAAATTGTGGTAGTAAAATGATGCTTACTTTAAAACCAGCACTATTTACTTACTTACATGGAGGCCACAAGAGAGTGTGGATGTTGGACATTTTCCCGAATTTCCTCAATGCTGGCAGAATTTCATTATATTTGAGATACTTTTTTCTTTGTTAAACATAGAGCACAAGCTTGCCTGTCTGAGATTTTTACAAATAATCTGCATCTGATACAAGTGTATAATATATAAATTTAGTAGATAGGCAAACTTGTGCTATATATGTTTTCCGAAACAAAATGTGCTGTAAAATCGATGAAAATTTGCATAAAAATGAGAAAATTTGAAAATTGACCTATTTTCTGACCTCTCTGTGTATTTCAAACCTAAAAAACAATACTCATTTTGTGGCAGGGATGACAACAGGTATTTATTGATAAACTTCTACATCATTCTAAAAGACACCCAAATCAGGGGCCATGAAGGGGCTTAGCCATCTTATCCTTTCATAATATGTTAAATATTTTTTCTCAAGAGTTCACTTTATGGGTTAAACTTAAACATTTTACAAATATGTGAAGTTTTAAAGACTGAGTATCTGAATACAAGTGCCACATTTGATCTAGGCAAGAGAAACACACATTTCTGACAATTAATGACAGAGGGCACTTCATATTTCTATTCCTTTACTTAGTGTTGTTGTTGATGTAATTCTATATCAAATTTTAACATTGTGACAAAATTGCACACAATTCTCTTAATTGGCAAATGTTATTCAGGTACCCTATTGGAATATAAATCTATAAGGAATATTGTTGATTTGTGAAAAGTACTTGTTTGTGTTACATGTACATATTAATCCTTATTTGAACATTTTAACATACTGTATTAGTAGAATTTTTTTTAGCGAGTATTTAATTTTGGGTTCATTAGCGAGGGTGCTGAGATTGCTAAAACTGAATATCCCTAAAAGGTAATTGCTTTTAATTTTATTTGTAATAGCCATTTTAGTGAGCATTTCTAGTGAGCATTTTAAAATTACTTATCGTTAAAAATAAAATACCATTTTTTAAAGAGAAATCACTAAATTTGCACCTCGCTAAAATTTCTACTTATACCGTATCATTCATCAACGAAAAAGAAATAAATCTTATATTATTTTTGATACTGAATATCAGTATTTTTAATGAGCATCTGATTTTGGCTTTAGAACAATTATCAAAAAAAATATATTAGTAACAATTCAATCAGAATTATTTTCTGTGAAAATAAAAACTCATCCTTGAAATCACACAAATTTAATTATACAATGTACAAATACTAAATGACATTTTCCACTTTTTGGATAAAATCTTTAATTTGCTCGTTCCTAATTTTAAATGAATTCATACAGTATTGTTTATTCATAAAAAGTTGGAGCATTAGTCAATCACAAAACACACACTGTCCTCCTTTGTTCATACCATTAAATACAATTTGCAAAACCAGTACAAACTTTCACATCTCTGAATATAAATTGTGATTTACGGGTATATACTCAGTCTGGTAGAAATCTTTGTACATGTATTTGACTAACCTTATCCTTTTTTTTACATTCACTCTCACTAAAACAAACTTATCACACACAACGACCACAATGAAAAATCTGTTTCTAATGATCAACTATCATCATGTATCTTCAGAATTAGACTTTTCAGTAGCTGTCTTTTTCTTTTTATCCTCTGTTATATATTTTATAAAGTCCTCCACAGTCTCTATATTCTCAGATTCGTCTCCAGTTTTCGGGGACTTCTTGGCTTGAGGAAAAATCTCATGCATTCTCTCTTTGAATTCAACCAACTGAAATCAGAAGAAAAAATCTTGCACTATAAATCATTAATTCTTTCAACCTCCAAATAAATTGTGGGAGAATTTTTTTTTTTCAATTTTCTACTATGCAGTTTTGATCAAACAGTACCAATACTTTATCAACACTAACAGTAAATGAAATATTCACATTATTCTACACATAAAGAAAATGATTAGAATTTTTTCTTTGGATCTTAAACCAAGGTGGTGCTGAAATCATAAATATGTGAGCACATCTATATAAGTGCACTTCCTAGGTCAATATGGAAAATAAATACATTAAAAAAAAGCAAAAATCAATTTAGATCTAAATAGCCAGTGCTGGCGCCTTTTAGGGCGCTATGTTCCTTGTTTGACATTTAAAGCAAATGATAATTATAAAAAAAATATGGTTTCTGAGATGATCTCCCAAACAGATCAATGAACTGCGACATTGCAGGTAGTGCACGTTCCAGAACGGCCCGTGATGATTCAGACAAGCAGACGATGAAAAAATCCAATTTTCCATTGAAGTAATTATTTTTGTGTTGGCTTCACACTGTGACAGTACCTTGGCATTTGTAGGGGCTGATAATGCGCTGGGAAAGATGCCAGACATATATGGACAACATTTCAAACAAACATACGTGACCATTGTAAAACCCAAGGTAAGATATGGAGTACTATAATATTACAGTATCAAACGGTATCACAAGTTACATTTAAATGAAATGTTTTATTCCCCCTTATCAATTGATCAACAATTCAGAAAATTCAATAAACTTATTTTTCATAAAACACAGTATCCCCCTTATCATGCTTATTGTGTTATGTTTAGCATAAAGATAACACAAGAATGGATCATTCTATCAAATAGGTATCTTTAAATTTTTTCCGAAAGGTGGTAATAGCTTTTATATGTCCATATAATATGTAAAAACTGAAAATCTCACAATAGAACTAGAACAGAATAGTTTATATCTGATATATTAATACCATGAATAATAGACTCCATATTCTAGTCCAGTGATTAGCATAATCTAAGGAAAATAGGGAGGTGGTGGGTATAAAATACAGAGTAATCTTAAAGGATAAGACTGTATGCCAGTTTTATATCATTAGGAAAGTGGAGAGTAGCTTTTACAAGTAAAGCCATCATCAGTTAAGACTGCTGGCTGGTATATGTTTCCATCAACAATGTACTGAACAACTGCTATGAATCATTATGATTAATTGTACTTGGAAAAATCAATACCATTGATTTATTCCTTCCCAAAGCCAGGAGGGGTTTATAAGATTATAGTACCTGTATCTGGTATTTGTGGAATTCAGAGGACAAAGTTCAGATTAAACATTTTAGCATAAAGTATAGGTATTTTACCTATAAATAGAGACAATACATACTCTTTTCCATAGCACATCCTGTATTAGCCCAAGACACCAATATCAGCCAGAGGGCCATATCAGCCGAAGGACCGTGGGCTAATATTGGTCGAGATTTTTCTATTTATTTCTATTTATTTCATTGTAAAATTTTCATAGCCCATTGAGGCCGTATCCTACCCCCAGGAACCCTGAGTTGAACAAATTTGATTCTACTCTACCTGAGGAGGATTATTCCATAAAAAATGACTAATTATGGTATTGCTGTTCTGGAGAAGATGATTTTAAAAGATTTTCGTACAAATTTGATTGCCCATTATGGTCCCACCCTACCCCCATGAGTTTCATATTTTCTTGCCCACTGATTCTTGAGATTTTTTTTAAAAAGCCATGAATTTTATTTTAAGGATCTGTAATTTTCTTCCCTCGGAAAAAGGTGCGGCCCTTTATTTGAATAAATTTGAATCCCCTTTATCTAAGGACCTTTGAGGCTACTTTGGTTGTAATTAATCCAGTGGTTCATACAAGATGCCCAGGGGCCACATCGCTCATCTGAGCAACTGACTAGGTAAAAGCAAAAATCAGTTCAGCATTGAAGAGTTTCAATATAAAAGTGGGTTCAGGGGAGGGGGGTATTTGAACAAGCTTAAATCTATACTTCCTACAGATGCTTTTAAATTTATATGATACATAATAGCTTTGCTGTTTATAAGATGAAAATTTTTATTGATATAGCCTTTATTAGCTCACCTGAGCCGAAGGCTCAAGTGAGCTTTTCTGATCACATTTTGTCCGGCGTCCGTCTGTCTGTCTGTCTGTCCGTCTGTCTGTCCGTAAACTTTTCACATTTTCGACTTCTTCTCATTTGAACAAACTTGCCACAAAGTACCCTTGTGTGAAGGGGATTCAAGTTTGTTCAAATGAAGGGCCAGGCCCTCATTCAAGGGGAGATTATTTAGAATTAATGAAAATTTGGTGGCATGTTTTAAAAATCTTCTTCTCAAGAACCACTGTGCCAGGAAAGATGAAACTTATAGGGAAACATCCTCAGGTAGTGTAGACTCAAGTTTGTTCAAATCATGACCCCCGGGGGTAGGGCGGGGCCACAATGGCTGACAAAAGTTTTACATAGAAATAAACAGGAAAATTCTTTAAAAATCTTCTTCTCAAGAATGGCAAAGCCATAATTGATCATATTTATATGGAAGCATCCTCAGGTAGTGTAGATTCAAATTTGTTCAAATCTTGACCCCCGGGGGTAGGGCGGGGCCACAATGGCGGACCAAAGTTTTACATAGAAATATAAAGGAAAATTCTTTAAAAATCTTCTTCTCAAGAATGGCAAAGCCATAATTGATCATATTTATATGAAAACATCCTCAGGTAGTGTAGATTCAAGTTTGTTCAAATCATGACCCCCAGGGGTAGGGCGGGGCCACAATGGCCGACCAAATTTTTACATAGAAATATAAAGGAAAATTCTTTAAAAATCTTCTCAAGAATAGCAAAGCTATAATTGATCATATTTATATGGAAGCATCCTCCGGTAGTGTAGATTCAAGTTTGTTCAAATCAGTGGGGTAGGGCGGGGCCACAATGGCCGATTTTACATAGAAATAAACAGGAAAATTCTTTAAAAATCTTCTTCTCAAGAATGGCAAAGCCATAATTGATCATATTTATATGAAAACATCCTCAGGTAGTGTAGATTCAAGTTTGTTCAAATCATGACCCCCAGGGGTAGGGCGGGGCCACAATGGCCGACCAAAGTTTTACATAGAAATATACAGGAAAATTCTTTAAAAATCTTCTTCTCAAGAATGGCAAAGCTATAATTGATCATATTTATATGGAAGCATCCTCAGGTAGTGTAGATTCAAGTTTGTTCAAATCATGACCCCCGGGGGTAGGGGGGGCCACAATGGCCGACCAAAGTTTTACATAGAAATATAAAGGAAAATTCTTTAAAAATCTTCTTCTCAAGAATAGCAAAGCTATAATTGATCATATTTATATGGAAGCATCCTCAGGTAGTGTAGATTCAAGTTTGTTCAAATCATGACCCCTGGGGGTAGGGCGGGGCCACAATGTCCAATCAAAGTTTTACATAGATATATCTAGGAAAATTCTTAAAAAATCTTCTTTTAGCGAAGCTATGATTAGTCATGGGACTACTTTTGGATTTAAACTTTTCAATAATAAAACAGTTCTACTTTTTCCTAGCCAAAGTGCTCGGGTGAGCGATGTGGCCCATGGGCCTCTTGTATTCCTTTTTATTACACACTTAGTAATAAATACAGGTTTTTTGCATATGCGATATGGTTGACGTCACAATAGCCGTATCAGCCCTGCAGGGCTGATATGGATTTGCAGGGCTGATATAGGTTATCAGCCCTGCAGGGCTGATACAGATCAATATCACATCCTTAGTAAATTAAACCACAAAAACAGTACTTGTGATCATACACAATTTTTGGTGGGTTCATATTCTCTTTGAAAATAAGGTTAATCTTAATTTACAAATATATGTAATAGATTATTTTCAAATTACGGATCGAGTGCATTGAAATAGAAGTAGAAACAAAGCCAAATCTTGTGAGACAATAGACCATGCACATGTATGTAAGAAGTCCATGCATGAGTATTTACTTATTTTCTTCTCAGCTTACTGATGCTGTATTTTATTACTAAGTATGTAATAAACATATTAATACATACCCTTCTCCACATCACATCCTGTATCAGCCCTTGACCAATGTCAGCCCTCGGGCCTTCGGCCCTCTGGCTGATATTGGTGTCTCGGGCTGATACAGGATGTGATATGGAAAAGGGTATGTATTATTCTCTATGTATAACTATGATCCACTTTAATGGCTCCTCTATCTCATGGATTTACATTACCTTTTTTGATGCTCTTAAATTGATGATCAATTATGGCTTTGTTGTTCTTGTACAGAATTTTAACGATTTTTCCTAGGTATTCCTACATAAAACCCTGATCACCCATTGTGGCCTCACTCTACCCCAGGGGTTATGATTTGAACAAACTTGAATGTACACTACCTTAGGATGCTTCCATATAAATATGAACAATCACTTCTTCGCTGTTCTCAAGAAGAAGAAATTAAAATTTTTTTTTAAGTAATCCTTTAATCCTGTAATCCTGTAAATTTTTAAAGATTTTTCCTATGTATTCCTATGTTTAACTTTGATCCCCCATTGTTGCCCCACCATACCCCTGGAAGTCATGATTTGAACAAACTTGAATCTACACTACTCGAGGATGCTTCCATGTAAATATGAACAATCATGTCTTTGTTGTTCTTGAGGAGAAGATTTTAAAAGATGTTTTCTATCTATTCTTATGTTAATCTTTGATCCCCCATTGTGGCCCACCCTACACCAGGGGGTCATGATTTGAACAAACTTGAATCTACACTACCAGAGGATGCTTCCATATAACTATGACTAATCATGGTATTGCTGTTCTTCAGAAGAAAATTTTTAAAGATTTTTCCTATGTACTTCTATGTTAAACTTTGATCCCCAATTGTGGCCCCATCCTACCCCTGGGGGTCATAACTTGAGCAAACTTGATTCTACACTACCTGAGAATGCTTCCACATGAGTTTCATCTTTCCTGGCCCAGTAGTTCTTGAGGAGAAGATTTTCGAAAGATGCCACCAATTTTTCAATAATTCATAATTATCTCCCCTTAGAAGAGGACATAGCCCTTCATTTGCACAAACTTGAATCCCCTTTACACAAGGATACTTTGTGGCAAGTTTGGCTTTAATTGGCCCAGTGGTTCTTGAGAAGAAGATGAAAATGTGAAAAGTTTACAACAACGACAACAACAACATCAACGATGACGACAGACAACGGACAAATTTTTATCAGAAAAGCTCACTTGAGCCTTTGGCTCAGGTGAGCTAAACAAATTGAAAAGTTTACAGACAGGTTAGCAGACAAATGGATGCCAGACAAAATGTGATAAAAGCTCATTTGATCCTCCAGCTCAGTGAGATAAAAAGGTTGTCAGACATTATTGCGAGAGCACAAATATGCAGACGCATTGTTTTATATATTATAGTATATAATACTAGTAAAATCGCTTATGTGGCCCAACAGTAAAATAGCTTAGTTTTCTATTGTTAAGGACAGATGATACAAACATTTTTTCTTTGAAAAAGATTTAATATCATGTCACAAGTTTAGAAAAGTGGATGGTTCTTAGAATTTCTTCTCCTAAGATATTAGTAATATTTCAATGAACAAACAAATATAGACAAATCAAAGGTTTACAGGTGAAAATTTCAAAATATGTTACCATGGTGCTAAAAGTGTATATAAACTTAAGAAAAATATACCAAGCCAGGTGAATTTTATTAGGAAAAGCTAAATGGTAAAAATCAGCCTATGTGATATTGCTAATTTTTTGTCATTTTGATCTTCCTCTTAAAATTCACTTGGCTTGGTATATTTTTCTAAAGTTTATATTACACTTTTAGCACCAAGGTAACATATTCTGAAATTTGTTTTCACTTGTAAACCTTTACTGAATGTGATTTGTCTATATATGTTTTTTTATTGAAATATTACTAAAATTTCCCAAGTCTATTTCATTTTCGAGTTCTTCGGAGAAAAAATTCTAAGAAGCATCAACTTTTCTAAACTTGTGACATGATATTAAATCTTTTTGAAAGGAAAAATTTGTTTGTATCATCTGTCCTTAAGTATATACTGGCAAAATTGTTGGTGCCACAGGTCAACTTACATTGTTAACCCCCATGGCCTTTTTTACCAGAAAACAGACCAGTCCAGTTCCAGATATCGCCAGAATGGTTCCATATGCCAAGGCCTTGGAGGCCCACTTCATTTCTGCCCTACCAATATTGACCTACAATATAAATTTATATTATTCAATGTTGTTGCATAATTATTTTTTTTTTAATTTGAACAAACATATTTCTTGCAAGCTGTAAGATTCCCTGGTGACTTTGAAAGAGAAAACAGACACTCTTTAAATCATGCGTTAGATACATATAAGCTGCTTAAGCATTAAGATTAATATCATGTTAAATTCTGAATTGATCTAAAATGTTTGACACAACAAAACTTAATTCAAAGTTGTACAAAAATTTTTAAACATGCACAATTTTTTTAACCCTGAAAAATATCTTTGCTACCTAAGTAATTGAGAAACTTACTGTAAACTTGTAGCTGCAATAATGTAGCCCCTCCCCCCCTCCTTTTTTTTTGGGAGGGGGGGGGGACATCGGAGAGGGCTACATTATTGCAACTAGTAAACATGATGTGTCACAAAATGGCAAAATATGAATAGAAATAGTATATTTGATAGACAAATGTAATCTTAGCCACTTTAAGTTCTTATTCGTTCTTTATACAGAAGAAATATATAAAAAAGAAGCTCAGGGACCACAATGCTCACCTGAGTCACACTGGCTTAACCCTACATCAGGTTTTGCCTTATATATTTCTATAAAAACTTGGATTACATTTGTGACACTATCCTAACCCCTAGGGTCATCGAACAAACTTTAATCTACAGTACTTCAGGATACTTTCTTACTATACTTGTCAAAATTTCTAAGTCCCCACTTTTATTTTTTCTAAAAGTTCAAAACCTTAATATCAATGTATTAGTTACTTACAATTTTGCCTTTAATTTGCAATACTTACCTGTCAAGGCAAAAAAAATTGTAATTGAATGTGTAATTACTCGACCGTGACCGTTTTTGTTAAAAAGCATGAAGTTCGAGTTCCATATATTTTTCGGGTGTATTCTTCATATGTTTTACTTCCATATGTTCTCCATCGTTAATTGATAACGAAAAACAGAAAAAAGTTTGACTAAAATGCAGTGTATGTCCACACAACAATGTGAAAGTGAAGTTGAAATGGCCCAAGCTGGTCATGGTTAACGAAAGTTATGTTTCCTTTCACTGTATGACTTTATTTTACTTAAAACCTTTATAATTAATGCTCGGAAAACCTACAAAGCATACCTAAATTCCTTTTAATCATTAGAAATTGCTAGATTTTCAACAAACACAATAAAATCATCCTAAAGTTTATCAGAAAAATCAATAGAACTGGAAGCGGAAGTGCCCTCCCGTCAATGTCAAACTAGAGGAGTGGGGAATACATGTAATGAGACATTATGTAACTACCGGTATTGTAAGCAAGGCACAGCACTTTCAGTAAGCCCCCTTGTCATCCTAATCTCAACCCTAATTTACATGTATGGAAGAAGATAGACGGGTGTGTGAGACAGCTTTTCCAGCAGCAGAATCTAGCGGAACTAGAGGACGACCTAGTCTCCACATGGAAAAACATTCAATAAAAGATTTTTTTCTAAAATAGTGTGAAATTTTTGAGGAACGGTTGTCTTGCTTTGAATTCGTTTGAATGGAGGATAATGCAGTATTTAACGTTGTGAATTTTTAATTCCAGGGTGCCTTAATGTCTCTGCATATTGTGTTCAAGTGCTTCAATGAAATAAATTAAGTTCGAAAAATTGTTTTGCTACTTTTTTATCCTGTATACTTATTAAATTATACTGTAAAAATAATTCAATACAAGAGCGGTGTAAAGTTAAAACTTGCCTGTGGACTTAGAAATTTTGACTAGTATATATAAACATGACTAAACATCGGTCAGCTGAACTTAAGACAAAGATTTTTAAAATTGATTCAAGTCACCCATAGTGGCCCCGACCTACACTGTAACCCCACCCCACACCATCTCCGGGTCATGATCTGAACAATCAGGCATGAATGTACACAACCTGAGTATGAATCCCTATGAATATGAGTGATGATGGTTTCGTTAATCCTGAAATAGGGATTTTTAAAGACTTTTCCTATAATTATTCCAAGGAAAAACCTTGATTGCATATTGTGGTTCAAATCCAACTGTGCTTAAAAGCAAAAGAAAAAGTTAATGAAGATTATACTCTTAAAACATGAAACTAGAGGTACTGTGAGCAATGAGCTCACTAAATGATACCCCCCGCCTCCCATAATGTCGATGTGTTGCTTTATATTGTTTTACGGTAATGTGTAAAGAGGAATAACTCGTCCTATGAAATGTTATCCAGAAGCTTCTATTATGTGACGTCATAGGTAAACAAAAAATGGCAATGTCAATGTTTTGCTCTGGGAAACCTAAAATACGTGTCGAATAAAAAAGTTAAATAGGAGGTGCACAATGGCAATATGTAATAAAGATTCTGTGAAAGTTTCATTAAATTTCACTCAGTAGTATAAGAGGAGTTGCGGATAAGAGAAAAAGCGTAACAGACGGACGGACGGACGTACAGACGGACGGACGGACAGACGGACGGACGGACGGAAATCCCGATCACTATATACCCTCCCGCTTTTCAAGCGGGGGGTTTAAAAATGTTCTTATAAACATATTAATAGTAACAAAACTAGAGGTATTGTGAGCGATGAGCTCACTAAATGATACCCCCCGCCTCCATATAGTTATAATGGCAAAGTCCATGTTTTGCTGTGGCCGGAAAACCCAAAATATGTGTCGGATCAAAAAGTAAAATAGGAGGTGCACAATGGCAATATGTAATAAAGATTCTGTGAAAGTTTCATCAAATTTCATTCAGTGGTATGAGAGGAGTTGCGGATAAGAGATGGGTACCCAAAAGCGTAACAGACGGACGGACAGACAGACAGAAGGACGGACGGACAGACGTACAGACGGACGGAATTACCGATTACTATATACCCTCCTGCTTTTCAAGCGGGGGGTATAAATATTTATAGTAAATTCATATAGCTCTATACATCCAGCGAAAGAAAATGTAGAATCAATAATATACTGAGTATACTGATCATGCTGATAGATAGAGTAATTCCAGCTGTTTTTTAAAGCAAGATATTCTATATACTAATCTTTTCTGCAGACAGCAATTATCAAATTTTTTTTGTCTGAGATGATATTATATACTGTAGATTCCTTATTTTTCGTGAGTACTTTTTATCGCGAACTGGGTCTTTCACGTCAAATCGCGAGAATTATAATTCGTGAATGGACGGTTGATCAACAGAATTTACATAGATTTCAGCACCATAAAAATAAAAGTGAGTAATATTTTTTTGTGAGTGACACTTCTCGCGAAATTACACAGAAATAAATTCTTCACGTATAATTAAGAATCTACAGTATATTAATTCATATGATGTACTTGATGATTAAAGTTTTTACATGACTACTTTGGTACAAGATTAAATGTTTGTTTTGATTTGATATGCACATGTAACCTCGCTGCATCTTTATTTAAATCTAATGATTTAACATGGGAGTGGAGAGTTCAACCACCCAACCAGAATTTTATTATGGCCTTTACCACTGAGTTCAGTATTGCGAACATTCAGCATGACACTTTGTGTCATATTGTACTCAGCTGCTGAATAATTCATCACCTGAATGAAAATTCTGACCACCCAATATCCCTCTCTTTGGCGGCAGAATTTTTCCATCATTTTGAGTACTGCAATCATTGGAAATTTATCATCACAAAAGGCAGACTTTAGAAGCAGGGCTCTCTCCCAAAAATCAATACCATTACAACAAGTTGCATCTAAAGCTCTGTTTCAGGCATCATATAGTTAGGAGGAAAAAAATTTCTCTATCCAATCAATTTCTCGGAAAATCTAAAAAGAGAAGGGAATCAGTGGCTATTTTCTTGACTCTCTGGGAACTTAAAGGTATATGACAGGCCAACAATCCATTGGCATGGTCCACCAACAGGGGAAGGTAAGGCGTGATGACTGTAGATCAGGTTAGAAATCGCTGTAATACTGAAGCCATGTGATTGCCTTGCTGCATGATCCAATATTATTATAATCAGGGTGTTTTACATGACACTGTCAACAGATCAAATAGCTGACAAGCAACCATCATTGTGTTCAGTATAACAAGACCAGTCTACTGTTAATAAATCTCCAGACCTGACTATACTTGATAGGAGTAAGATCATGTAACCTCATATTAATGCATTTGTAGAGTATATCTGTAAGACTAAAGAACACAGTACAGTAGGAATCAAATGATTAAAGCCTGCACCCACTTATACACAGATATAACACATCATACACAACATATACATGTATTCCATGATGCATGTACTCAAGACAGGAGTCAGTGACAAGTTTATATATAAGCTAAAATGTTAACAGTCAAATGTCAAATGGATGTCTTTTTACAAGGGATAGTTCAATGCACTTTTGTTATTCTTTAATCATGTCTGCCTTTCATGTACTTTTAATTCCAGTTGCATGAATTAGAATATTTGGTGATGCTGATTTTTTTAATCATATAAATAAAAGTATGGTATAAATTGTAAAGTCACATATTTTCAAGTGGAGAATTTTTTGTTGTTTGAGGAAAAAATATGGGTTTGTGGGGGGTTATTTTATGAATAAAGAATTGGTGAAGAGTGCTGTAACATATGTATTATGTGAAAAATTACAATTCATGGTGGACTTAAATTTGTGGGTCTCTTTATTCCTCAAAAACGATGAAAATTAAACCCCCACAAAAATCGGTTACTTCACAGTAGGCTTGTTTAGACAATAGCCTAAGTAGTTTGAGTGAAGTATGGACTTAACAGAACTACTAATTTTCCCCTTGCACATTCTAGAATTCCATGTGAAACATCGAGACTATCAGGCTAGGACTGCCATCATGGTGTATACTGTGTGAACTGTGAATATGATACATCTGACTCTCCGTATATCTCCAATGTATAGGTTATTACACTGATACACCTAACCCTGTACAGTGAAAAAATCACAGTTACACCCGCAGACCGTCTGTCTTGTATGATTTCTTATAAAATCATAATAGTTCTCCATTTGTCAGTCCTTCACACATTCTTTTTTTTTTTTTTTAACAGTTTCATTTTAAAAGGTACATACATGTAGCCTCACAGTTTTAGGGGGACATATTTTTGGTTCGGAGTGTAAATAATGTGGAAGACTAATGTGCAAGAAGGTACTGGAATTATGATTCAGTTCTAGGGATTCACAGAAGCATAGGACTTTCCCTATGTTTCTAGAGGTACATGTACATGTAGGTTAAAAAAAAGTCCTTGATGTGTAATGATATACACTGTATTAAGTAATTAGACATGTCTTGTACACACCTCCTGTATAAGGGCAATCATTGTTGACCAGTAATCTATACCTATCAAAGAATTTTTTAGGGTGTAGCTGAGATATCGCAAGAGCTAAAGATTGGGGGGGGGGGGGGATTGCCAACTTAGCCAGCGTACAGTAATTTTTCTGTAGCAGAGACCATTCAGGATATTAACAAAAAATACAAATGACTAGACACAGATGAAAAACAGGGAGACCATGACATGTTCTTCAATGATCAAAACTGATATATCTTCCACTGAGAAAAGTGCACAAATACCGGTAATTCATTCTAAAGAAAATGAAATTAAAATAATAGCAAACCGTGCCCAGATACTAATCTAAATGGCACTGTACTGTGGTGAAAGATTCATTATCATGTTGTATTGTTACACTTTTCCCTGGTTTCTGACTTACTGGTGTAATGGTACTGCCATCACCTTTCTTGGCTGCTAGGGCATATGCACTCTTGAACTGGAAGTAAGTAGCTAGACCTACTACTGATGTCAGAAGGAATCCCTCTGAAAGCAGGAATTATGTATTAATACCTCTATAAAATATAAACATCACAGATTCTCAGTACCGGTAACAACAGAAACTTGGCCAATATCCATTTTAAAATGACATTTTTTTTTAATAAAATCTGTAAAACTCATTTGTAAATAAAGATATTAAAAACCTCCATATTTTTTTCTCAAATGTAAATTTATGGCTAATAAGTAAAAATTCATCATGTTCATAAACCTGTTATATTTTTCTAAATAGCCATTTACCAAGGAATAGATTTTGAGCTATCTGCTCAAGGAGAAATAAGCTCTCAACACAATCATTCAATAACAGCATTCAGTTTTCCTCCCTTTCATCTCAAAACTTTTCTGATTTTATCCAGATCTTGAGGTGACACAAGTCTGCTTTGGTAGAATAAAGCATCTAATCATAATGTCTATTCAGACACTCACGAGTGTATTGTCCCTCTCGACAGAAACTATTTCCCTTGCATGGCTAGATCACGGAAATAGTTGCCTTGGAAGACCATCCTTATAATCATAAAATATATAGGTGTATGATTTTAAATTATTTTCGGCAGGTACACAGTGATATTTTTGGTAAATTTTAATATTTATGCATGCTTTCTGAGAATTTTTCCCATGCATGAATTTTGTAATTTTCACATGAATTATTGATATTTTTTCAGGTTATATATTACATAATATTTATTCGTGCTTTTAGAGAATTTTTCCCATGCATGAACATGATAATTTTCACATGAATTATTGCTTGATTGTAATCAAAATTTAACTTTCAGGTTATATGCAATACATCCATAATAGCGAAAACAGTGAGCACGACCGTCGGCACTGTTCGCACGACCATTGTATTTCTTATTATGGCGTTCGTTTTTTCGTCTTAAGTTCGGCATGCACTTTTGGTAAGAAAACATCGACTTTCTCTCTGATGTTAACACAATGCATTGGCAAATAGTATATATATTCAGATATTCAAAATTTGCACACTTTTAGAGTGTGTTGTGATAAAATTCCATGTCTTATGTTTTTTTTGATGTCATTTTTATCTTAACAATATGTACTGGCAACGTTAATGTACGGATATAGTCTTCATTTCAGGAAATGCACTTTTGCATCAAATTATTTTTACTTCATGGAAACAACCTGAGATAGTGGTCTTCAGACGTTAAGAAAAAATTGATTTATTCTACAGGACTTGCCTTGATTTTAATGGATTCATCGTTAGCCTGGTTGTGTTCATCTTTGTTTCGGCGTGGCATTGCAATATCAACACTGCAATCAAATCTTAAATATGGGTTTAATAGGAGTGTTAAAAGTTTTTCTAAATCCAAAATTTCAACGAAAATAGACATCAGATTTAGAAGAAATCATGAAAAATACTACTTTCATAAATATGTTTAATAAGGGATATTGGGTTTTAAAACCCCATGTGTCCTTTAAAAGGGTGATGATGTAAAAAATAGTTGTTTCATGTACATTTTAAAAAATGTACGAGTAAAACAATATGCGTTTCAGTATATAAACAAGTCATTTTAATAAAATATTTACTTACTATTTTGGAAAGCATTTGATCATTTTCAAATTAAACACTCTTTTATAAAAAAACTTGTCATAAAACCTTATTTTATACTGTTATACCCTCAAATTAAACAATTATGTTGATATTTAAATGTTAATAGTTCCCTTAAAATACTACTTATAAAAATCATCAAGTTTTTATGGAGTATGTAGTAAATATTGACGTATGTATCTAAACGATGATAGACTGTTGATAAAGACCACATGTGCCCCCCCAACCCCCAACCCCAACCCCCTCCCCCACCGTGTTCCGTACTCCAAGGGTTCTTTGACTTTTTTTTAATAAAATATTTTTCTATGACATATTTACAAAGTATTTCTTCTAAAAAAAATCAGAAATCTAAGCTAAAACTTGCCTTTTATAAAAATCCATACCCTCTGATACCAAAACAGAAGTGTTTTAGTATTAGAAGGTATGATTTTTTATTCTAAACCTGTGATAAAGGGCCTTTATAAAAACAACATTTGAATAATTTTGTGTATGACGGCACTTTATTTTGGTTGAAAAATATTTTTTTTCAGAATTTTATTAAATTTATCCATCCAATATCGATGACTTCATGGTGTGATTGCTGAAATATAAATGTGGGATTCCATTTTATTTTTTACAAACTTTTAAGAAATATATATTCATTTCAAGAGTTTCATTGTTATACCTGGGTATGAACACATGATCAAATCCTATAATGCCAAAAGGTGCGATGATATTTCTACTCTAATAAAGATTATGGCTCTTTGATTCACTGTTTACATTTAACACAATTTGATCATCGCTGCAGATTTTGTCAGCATATATGTGCGAGTGTATGCACTCTGTGGGTCAAGGTTTAGGAGGTGCCCTGGTAGTAACGTATGTTATCCCCACCTCCCCAGATCATCGCGAGCAAGTGTGTAAGTTAGTATCTACCCTTGGTGATCCGCAAAAGTGGCCAAGTGATCACCCCCCTTTCCTTTATTTTTTTGGTTTCTATTAATCTTCATATATAAAGATTTGTTTCTTTTTTATGGCTAATAAACTGCTTTATTTACATATTTGAAACAGGTAAAATCATAGGTAAATGGCACACTTGAACATTGATTTTTGTGGTGCGTCCATATATTTTATACATGTTTTAAAATAATCAATTATAACATATCCATGAATTTCAAACTGTACCGTAAAAAGAAAGGGATGTGTGACTGTGGGGTATCATTTGTTAAACACACGTTTAGCAAACGAACACCTTACGATCCGTTATTTTTGGAATATATTGTCGTTTAAAATTAGAAATTCAAATAATGAGTACACGACAATTAATAAAAGACAGTATTATTAAATTTTGAGCAATATGATATAGCATATATTTTATCTTAAAGTTAATAAATAAATTTAAAAAAAAAAACAAAATGTAATATATTAAAAATATAACGTGAGATGTTTCGCGCTGAAATCGGTATATGACTTAAAAAATGCGATTGCTATTTGCACACGTCGTTAAATTTTTTTTCTACCTATGTGCACGACGGTCGTGTATATATCTCAGCAATTTGCATTAGCTATTCGCACGACGGTCGTGTAAATAGACTTTCTTTACTATGCGCACGACGGTCGTGTATATATCATTGGCCGCAGATTAAACCTTCATAGTTAAAGTTAAATTTGCACTGTTCAGACTTCCTTTTGCTAATACAACACACATATGCTGACATATGTGATGTCAGAGTCTTAAATGTAGCAGATGTCACCTGCAGTTTGGAAAGCATGATCTAAATTAAACCTGAAAATATCTGCACTTATAGCCCTAATAAGGCTAATGCTCACACTGTTAATTAATGCTGTACACTTGAGTATTAAGTATAAGTCAGGCTGTTATAATGCTGACTTTTCTCCAGTAAGGGGAAGCAATATGTCCAACTGCTACTAAACTTGCGTAAAGGGCATAGAATGATAGATCTAAATCAGAATTTTATCTTTATCTTTGGCCAAGCTTACCATTTTATACAAATGTATAATTATCAATTAAGTCTATGAACACCTCTAGCTCTATTTCTACTCTAATAAAGATTTGTTGAATTTGATAACACAGTCTGAGTTTTGTCTGCTAGCTCAGGTTTATGCCTGGTTTATGCATGAGACATACATGACCTTCTGTATCTTTTTTAAAGAAGCAAATAAACATTTAAAGCTATTTTTACAATACTAACTTTTAAATTTGTCTTTCCTTCGATTCCACTTTTCATCTGCACTTTCAATGACTGCAGTTGTCGTTTGAGAAGGTCCTACCTGATCAATACCACTTTCTCTCCCATCAGCATGCACAACATGCTGGATGGGCGGCGCCATATTGTTTACAATGTGAAGGACATTGAAAATACTTAAAAGCCAAAAAATTATTTAGATACACATGTTGTCCTTTATACATCATAAAAGCACACCAGATTTGACGTTTACGATTTTTGGTGCTTTTCAAGAAATAGATTTAGTCTTTACTTTTTTTTACTTCGCGCATGCGCAAATAAATTTATTATCAATAACAAGAGAATGGTTTCCTGTGGAACGAGATCATGTCGAAATAACCGAGTGTGGCCTTAGGGTTGCCTCAAGTAATGTTCATCTTGTGATTTTCTGTTTTTGTAGAAACACAGACTTTGCAATGACAAGGTTTCCGATAAAAGCTCACCGTGGGAAATGGATACCTCTCCTCTCCCAGTGAAGGAAAACTCTTATGTTGCCGTGGCCACGGACAGAGTTTCCGAATATTCCGACACAGGCTCCACAAAGAAAATGCCGAAAAAAATGACTAGAAAGTGGGAAGTGTTCCCTGGGAAGAATAAATTCTGTTGCAATGGGCGGATCATGATGGCGCGGAATACTGGAATATTCTACTTCACTTGTATATTAATTGTAGTGACAAGTGGTTTATTTTTTGGATTCGAGTGAGTGATTTGGGTGTTGTGTAGTTACATGTAGTAGGACCTAGAGTAATGTTCAATTAAGTCTTTCTAACTAAAAGCTTCACTTTTTATGATAAGATATTTTGTCAGAGCATAAGACCAACTGTTAAAAACAATCATTTTCGTCATTTTGTGTCCATGTACACTTTAAGTTTTACCAAGTGACAAAAAATTTAGCAGATACTGTACATACATTTTATGACAGAGAATTAAAACTACCTACTTAACCTACCAGGATTGAACTGAATGGTAATATTTCTGCTTACGATGTTAACAGGAAACTGAGCTTCAGTTAATGATGACGGTTTATACATTTAAATTTGGTATAGCATTGTAGATATAGTGGCAAAAATATTTTGACTTGTTTGATATATTAATGTCATTCAGTTTTAAAATAATGAGAATCGAAAGATTAGCTAGACTGCAATCACATATTACTTCATATTGTACAATAAATACATTACAGCAATGTCATAAAAGTATTAATTACACAGTGGTTAATAGCTGGGCTGGACAACACAGGTGTCATACATTAGGATATGTCATGTGACAATGCATGAATTTCTTGAGATAGACGATATTTAAACAGGGTTGTTTTTTTTTGCTAAAAGTCAATGATGTATCTAATCTATCTCAGAATTTATTCTTACAGGAATAGAACATGATATTCTGGCTACACAACAATTAACCAATGTTTAACAGTCTTCAGAAAACAATTTTTCATGAAGACCGATAATATACATGTAATTAGACAATTATAAATATACACAACTGACAAGATTGCACTGATCTGCTTTTAGGCTCTGTACTAATTGACCAAACATATAACATCTTTTAGCATATTAACAGACTAGGTGAATCTCTCTATTTGGAGTCTGGCTATCGCTTACAGTCATGGAAATAAATGAATAAACCCATTTCATTACTTTTGCACACTAGCATGATAACCAGCCAGTCAATCTCAGATAGTTATCTTGTGTATCCTTAAAATGAGTTGCTGACTATAAGCGGAGAAGGAAAGATTTTTTATTTTATACTCTAAAGTTTCTATGTTAAGTTATATTTTTCGGGGTAAGGCTAGATGGGACGGGGAATTAATGTCTGCTAATAGAAATGATTCTTTACATACATATATAAATCTATACTTAACATCTTAATGTAGCTTACAGATAATAAAGTATAACTCCTATTTCTAGCAACAAGAATTATAATGAATATTTACATGCAGCACTCTTAGAACAAAATATACATAAGTTCTGCTGACTTCTCTTATGATACTGATATTTACAAGGATGAATTATATAAATTCTTGCTAAGCTAGCCCTCTGATTATAGACACTGGAATAATTAAAGTTTAGACAGCAAAATTAATTTAAGACTTTGTAATCTGTTTATCATTAGTAATGTTTTTTAAATTCTGTATGACATGTGATTAAGTTTGCTTTCTTTTCCTTTCAGCTGTCCATACCTGGCAAAAAATGTCACCCCAGCCATTCCGGCCTTTGGAATCGCCCTATTTATTTTTGTAATGTCTACCCTGTTCAGGACGAGTTTTAGTGATCCGGGAGTGATCCCCCGGGCCTCGCCGGATGAGGCGGCCGATATAGAGAGACAGATAGGTAAGTCTAGTCTTCAATACAGTCAAACATAGTTATACTTAAAACACTTAATACAGTCAAACATGGTTATACCTAAAACACTTAATACTAACAGTAAAACATGGTTATACCCAAAACACTTAATGCAGTAAAACATGGTTATACCCAAAACACTTAATGCAGTAAAACATGGTTATACCCAAAACACTCAAAACTGTAAAACATGTTTATACCCAAAACACTCAATAAAGTAAAACATGGTTATTATACCTAAAACACTTAACACTAACAGTAAACATGATTATAACCAAAACACTTAATAGAGTAAAACATGGTTATATCCAAAACACTTAACACTAACAGTAAAACATGGTTATACCCAAAAAACTTAATACAGTAAAACATGGTTATACCCAAAACACTTAACATTCAATACAGTAAAACATGGTTATACCCAAAACATGTTTATTTAGAAATACTTTGTGTAGGATTGACTGTTGCTTTTTACAGATTTCATGAAATTTGATTTTTTCTTTATGTAATAATATTTTTTATCATTGATCATGTTGGTTTATATGCTTACAAAATACAATATTTGTTCTGAAAATAAATTCCTAGTTAATGTGTAGTGGTTACAGATAGTCCCTATGTTGTACTGCTAGTTACCTGTAATTTGAATAAATACAATACCATGAATACAGAATATTTACATCACTGCAACATGTGTCATCAGGTAGATTGAAATTTAATAAAATAAGGCTGCAATAACAGATTAAGTAAGGTATTAAATTTATTAATCACGATCATCATAGAGTTAGCAGGGTTAATGCTTTTGAAGTTCTTATATAACAGGCTAAGTATAGAATATTTACCTCTTGACACTTCCAGAAAGTCAATAACACTTCATTATGGGTCTTTTATTAACAATTAGGACCTTGTATAATACTACGTGTAGCTGTTTAAGGAGATGTTACGTATCAGAAGAAGGTCACATGATTCCAATAATTATTACCAAAAGCATTTCCAGTTACCAAGTATATATTTATGGCATTTATTTTTATAGTTAATACAAATAATTATAGACTTTCAGTTTGAGTTCAGATCAATCTTTCAAACAAATATTGGTAAATTAGGTATTAGTTACATACAATTTTGTATAAATAGAGGCAAATGTACAATACATAAAGGGAATGTGACAAAAAGTGGGTAGATTAAAAAGAAATAAGGAATACAAACCACATAAAATTTTCATCAAGTTTTTTTAAGCTTGAAGAGGGGAAGAATCTATACCTTAATACCAATGTTCTAACGTTCAGTAAAAATATTAATTTTGGAAGTTACAATAAGTTCCTAATTGACATTTTGGATTAAAAATTATTTATCAGATTTTCATATAATTCACCTGATAATTAGTAATTCATGAATCTCTTAGGAAGTTTCATTTAGATTTAACTTAATTGGTATTGATCATAAAGACAATATTAAGTGTATTTCTTCATTTCAGAGGTCCCTAACTCTACCCCCGGGACATACCGCCCACCCCCCAGAACCAAGGAGGTAGTTATTAAGGGACAAGTCGTCAAATTAAAGTACTGTTTTACATGCAAAATATTCCGACCACCGCGAGCCTCACACTGTAGTCTATGTGATAATTGTGTTGGTAAGTTGATTGTTATCAAAGGAAACAAAGACTTGAAACAGAATTTGTAATTTTGTAAATTTAGACTTTTTAACATAATTTCATTGATGATTGATATCTCTAACTAGTAATTCTTTATGTCTTAATTTCTAAATTAGTTATTAGACATAATTCTCTGATGCAGTGGACATTTTTTTAATTGTTGGTGTTTTCGTTTCAGAGAGATTTGACCACCACTGCCCCTGGGTGGGGAACTGTGTGGGAAGGAGGAATTATCGCTACTTTTATTTATTTATTCTTTCCCTGTCCATACTTTGTATCTATATATTCGCCTGTGTGCTTACTCACCTCATTTTACGTAAGTTGCTGTTTTTTTTTTACAAAAATATACTTCAATAAGGAATTGCAAAAACTTGTACAAACTGTGTGGAAAAAAATTTTTAGTGAAGTATAATCTAAGTGCAGTGTACGTATTTTAATACATATTGAAAACTATAAACATCAAGTCATGATTATAGGTCTCTGGTTACTTAATTTGGTTGATATTTTTGTTCATAGAAATATTAACACACCTGTAAATTTACATGTAGGATTGATCGATAATAATAACCATATCAAAGCAGATCTTCCAGGGAATGTTTACACTCGCTGTATAAACACACTTTGTTGTACACTGGTTTCAGGGCATCTGTCATTTGAAGCAAAACAGATTGTCATAATCATGTTTTACAATGCACTGAAATGTACAATAGATGCTTTTGGCAAAATTACTGTTGATTTTAAAGAATAAACAAGTGAAATATGCACCATCTTTTGACAAAATAAAAATAAGATGTAGGGGAAGTCTTAAAATATCTTTTGTGATCTGACCTCAGACGACAATCTATACGAGGCACTAAGACGCAGATATTTTGTAGATCAGGTCAGGAAAGACAAAAATGTTAAGTGATCAAATCCTGTATTCTGGTTTATATAGTGAGCAACATTGTTATGGTCACATGTTAAGTACTTTTAAATAGCAATGACCTTCGTTTATGTTTATTTTAAAAAGAAAATATTTTCATATATATACATGTAAACATGATAAAAGAATGCAAATATGACTGTACTTCTCCATTTGCACAAATCTTGATTAAAGTTGATTATATCAATATTAGGTCAATAAATTAGCATTTGAGAACCTTTCTAAAGGAATCAAATAATATCTTAGGAGACTTAATCTTAATATGTATAGTGGTAATAATTGGGATGAAATACATTGCTCATTTTGATGTTTTCTTTGTTTCAGGGTCACAGGAGGACAATTTTTTACATGCAATGCGAGACTCCCCTGCTAGATATCCTTTTGATAACAAATCGTCTGTAGTGATTTCAGCCTTAACTTAGGGACTCCCTTCAGTAAAATGAATCCAGAGCTGTTCTTCTATAGATAAAGAGGATTGGAAAAAAATTGGAGACTGTTTTTTATGAGGTTTTAGAAGACCTTTAAATCAGATTAGGCTGTAAGAGTGAATTCATTTCTTGCTCCTCTAACTACTATCTTTGGCCCTTGAGACATAAAGCAATAGATTGGATTGCTGTAGCTATAGGATATTCTATAAGCTTCCTTTCTTTCAGGATAAGAGCTATAAGAGCATTTTTTGATGAATTGGATGTTCATTTCAGGCATTTTCGCCAATTGTTTTCTCGTTTTTTGTCAGATATCATTGGTGTAAGACTGTAAGTGCAAATCTTCAGACATGCACACTATTCTTTGGGCCCAGTGGAAAAGATGAACATTGCATAAACATTGTACATCTATATATTTCTTGTTTTGGTCATTTCTTCAAATATATATCATAATTTATATTATCTCAGTGATGTATTTTTTTTTTGGGGGGGGACTTATAATATACAATGGTATCTAGCTCAGCTGAATTTAACTATCTGAAATGTTTTCAAAGTGCATGATTTGAATAATCAAGTCGTATGATCCAATACTGTTGTGGCGTTTGTTTGTAGTAATTTTCTCTGAGGTCATATCTCAAGTACTTCTCTGCAGTATTTATGGAAACTCCAAAGTGATGTTCATCTTTTGTCCATTATAAGATTAGATATACCAGTAGATCAAAGGACTGGAACAGCCATTGGTCTACTACAGGAGTGTATCCCAGTCTGTAAGCTATAAAGTGCTGCTGAAATACAGATAAGAGCAGAGGGATCAATATTTCTATAGGAGTAGTGGGGCCCTCTATTTAGAATCTGGTCAGCCCTATATTGTATATAAAGTCAAATCAATATTTGTCTAAGAATCTGTGACTTAGATATAAAATGACATCAGAGAGATGCTTGTTGAGGTTATCCTTTTTTTAACACTTCAAGAAAACAAAAGGGAGAAGTAGTAGAATGTGGAATGGGATTACCAGTAGATTGTCAGTATTTCTAGAATGAAACTGGTTTTGTTAGAAGCCAAATTCAGGGGTTTTTTCTTAAAGTTAAGATTTTAAGTAAATATTGCTGGTTGCCAGACTATTTTCCACCTTTTATTTTCATTTTAAAAATTCACCACCATAAAAAAAATAAACTATATGGTTTTCTAGATATGGAAAAAAAGTAACAGTTTGATGTTAATTAGAGTGTTAATATTGACCATGTTGACAAAGTATTCTATTCTTCTTTTGAAAGCGAGAAAGAAAAATGAGAACCATACAAAAAGTATGTCTTGAAGTGGCTTACTCTTTGCGACAAACAAATTGATTCTAAAATGGCTTCAAAAATCAATCCATGTGACGTTGAGGAAAAGATAAATTTCTAAGCATTTTTGATTTTGTCCAAGCTATACGGTGGTTAGATTTCATTCTCCTTAACCATTATTGTACCATCATTGAGGCCATTATCTGCTTCTTTTCGGTCTGGTCAATCATTGGCCTAGCAGGGTTCCATACCTATCTAGCTACATCTGAACAAACCACTAATGAAGATGTGAGTAGTCTTCCCAGTGTGCTGAATTTTGTCATTTCATTTATTCATGTCTGGCCTTACTTTTTGGTGTGCTCACAGAATTACAATTACACCTCGCTTTTGATGTTTCTTACATTTTATATGTTTTTTTTTAACCAATTATTGCTTTTATATAAAATGCTCATTTTTCTCTGACACATACAATTTATTGTTATTTGGAAATAGATTGAGTGTATATGACTTATATATCTAGTTTTAAGAAAAGGGAAGGATTGTTTTTAAGGAATTAACTCATTATTGAATTTATTTTTTGTTGCGGTAAAAAAAAATCCTGTCAAGAATTTGAAGTACCCTACTTTTACTCTGTGCGATTTATTTGAGAGGCTTTAATCCTATTGTCGATGTTGTATTTTCCTTAACTTTGTTTTACTGTGATAGAGGCCATTATCTGTTTCTTTTCTGTGTGGTCAGTGGTGGGCTTAGCAGGATTTCATACATATCTAGTAGCTTCAGAACAAACCACCAATGAAGATGTAAGTATCACTGCTCCTTTCTCCATCACTTGCTTATTATTGCGTAATTATATTTTGCACATAATTATATGCATATCATTTTGCTGAGAATACATTTGAACTTCGTTATCTCAAACTTCATTTACAAATTGGATGTGTTGAAGTGATGTTAAAAGTTCCAGCTATATTTTATTATGTCAGTATTTTAAACTTGATATCAACGAATATCTTGAAGATTTTTCTCAGCCCCATTTGGTTTGAGATGACATTGTTTGACTGTATCTGTAAAATGATTTTCTTCAAGGTCATGTTTTCATGATAAAAAATTAAAGAAAAAAGCATTAATTAAAATACATGTAATGTATGTGTTATTGTGATGAATAAATATAGGACTCTCATAAAAAAGCCTGCAGTCAATATGAGTAGCATCAGTTAATTTTATACCTCGTTTAATATTGGACGAAATTAGAATTCTATTATTATAGGATTTTAACTGATCCTCATGTTTTACTGCTTCTAGCAATTTGGGAGGGAAGGGTACAAAGGAATAGTTAAACAGTCATGTATATCATATAGGTAGCGCATTCACGAGGTCTGTAGTATATATTATCAAGGAAAATTGAATCCGTGACCATGTTGGACTCTTGATAATGAAAACAGTGTTGTGAATAAATGCCCAGCCTTTCATCTATCGAAGTGTCAAACGATGAGAAATCACTGACTCAGTGTCACTGATAAAACATGCCAAAAATCTTGCAAATATGCGATGAAATTTATAAAAAAAGAAATACCAGCCTGTTTGAAGATCATATGATTATACAAGGTTTCAGCCATGATTATGATATTTCTTAAAAATAAGCTGCAAAATGACATTACAGTTTTTAAACATTGTATAGCTTTGAACAGCGATTGGGCCTTTCTAATGTCATAGTCTAAGGGAGATAAGCAATGTAAATCAAAGCACATTTTCCCAATTGAGTAATTTTGATCAACTGTGTTGTCTCTATCTTGCATTAAAAAGCTAAATAACATTTTCAGTCCTATTTTATCAGCTCAGATAAAATTATTCCTGTATGTTACTCAATATGTTCGGCTATTTGTTTCTTATGACCTTTAATCCCAACTGTATACTCAGAGTACAATTCACTGTGTTAGACTTAAGTCTAAAAAATCTGTAATTCTCAGGAAATATCTAAAATGCGCAGCATTTTGAATTCATGCTATGTGTAAGAAATAACAAAAGTCATCATGAAATTGATACTTGGATAGATTGAAGATTTTCTTGTTTTATGTTGGGATGTGATTATTATCACTATATCTATTTTGGGATTGGATTAAGTATTTTATTAGTGTGAGATATGACTAGCTATTTATTCTTTTATTATGATTTTTTTCAGATAAAAGGTTCCTACTCTGCGAAGAGAGGGCAGGAAAACTTCAACCCCTTCAGTCAGGGATCTATATTTAGAAACTGCCTGGGAGTTCTATGTGGTCCTACTCCCCCAAGGTAAGGGGTGTGTGTAGACTGAAGCTACTAAAGTAATCTATATTACAAAAGATAACTATTAAACACAGAGGAAAACGAATCATTAATTGAAATATAAATCACATAAACACTCAGATATGTGTGCCTCTTGTTGCGTTTCTTGTCTAAGTATAGTGACTGTGTTTACTTTTCAGTCTGTTGGACCGTCGAGGTTTTGTCATCCCGGACAGTTCACAGTCACAAGGGGTAAATGCATCTACCGGCAAAGAGAGTAATGCCGTCAATGTTAAACATGAATATTACGGATCTACTAACAATACTAAGGTGTGAGCTTATACTGACCTGCACCACCATCACAAAATACTGTATATAGGAGTATCTTCGTTCTGTGTCATTTTTTCGCCCTTTCACTTGCTGACAATTTTGCATCATTATAAATTCACTCAGTCACAAATCTGTTTCAGAAATTGTTCTGTGTTTTTTAAATGTAACTCATTTTGAATTTGCCCACATGTTAGCTGAGCACAAAGGGTGAAAATATAACCAGGGCAGAAATCTCCCTTTATACAGTAGCTAATGCACACATAGAACAAATTGATGTCACAGATAGTACAAAAATTAATTAATTTGAATGTAGAACTAGTTTTGGCATTCACATACATCCTTCTTGTAGCAATAGTTTGTGTCACAATAATAATGTGCAGACACAGAAATTATGATATTTACAAAGCAATGACTATCTTTTACCAGGGCCCTCTCTATATAGGGGCCCAGTAGTGACAAGTCTGTCCATCCATCTATTCAGCTGATATATTACCATATATATTTCCCTTCCTTAGTTAACCAAATTTTTTAGGGGGAGGGGGTATAGCTGGATTACAATGGGAAGGATTTTTTTTGTTGATTTCAAAGCAAAATTTCTGTAGGTTTCTTTATTATGTTTATCCAACATGTCCAATGACGTGTTTTCAAAATGGAAAGAGAATAAGTACAACATAATATGTCATAAATGCAGATAAGGTTAAAATATTATGATATTGTTCATGAAATTGTAAATTGAAAAGTTATTTATCCGTCACAAAAGGAATTGAAGTTTTGTGAAGTTGCCTTTGAACATTTGTGCACGGATACTAACCGACCTTTGTCACTGTTCACAGACTAACAATGTGGGAACAAACACTGGTCACCATGTGACAGGAAGTAACGGTACGGGACCGGTGATGAAACAGATGATCAGTTACCAGACAGCGGACGGGTCCATCAACAGCCGACTCCCCCCCACCAACGGTAGGTCTGTCTGTCTGTGTCCTAGGACCGTGTACTGTCATTGTAAATCATCCAACAAATCATGTCTTTGTATGTTATGTAATTGAATTCAGATTGACTTAAGGGTCCTCTATTATTGAAGAAAAATGGGGGGTGGGTGTGGAGTTGACATTAAAAAATCAGATATGGATGTAAATTCTGAGTTCACTTATTTCATTTTTCAAATATCTGCACTGAAGATTTCTATTTTTTTTATTTAAGATCAAAGGGCAGATAACTCTGCATAAAGATACTACTGAAGTAAAAAAAACCCTTCAATTAGCAGTGTACAGAGGGCCCTTAAACTTATTATATACATATCTTCCTGTTTATTGGTAGTCATCAGATTTTTTTTCACATATAACAGAGTATTATACTGAAAACCCAGTGAGATACTATTTTCTAATAATTAGTGAACATCATCCATGACGAGAGAATAATACATGTACAGAGTATATAAATCAGAGCTCTTCACTGAATGATAGATTTTCTTGACTAAGTAGCTAAGATGAGTTCTTTTATTAATGCTGCATGTAACAGTGGGTAAGAATCCCCTGTGGAATACGACAATGACACAACTGACTTATCAGAATGGTAAGTTGAGTATGGGTCCTCACCAATCACTTACCAAGGCAGATGTGGGTCTTATGTAAATTTTAAATTTTGGTCAACACTTGATTGTTCAAGATTACATTTGTATCAAATTTTTGGAGAGACTGCCAGAAAAGTAACATGCAATAATGTTAAATACAGGAATATTTTTTTGGTGGTGGGATGAAGAAAAAACTGTTGAATTTTTAAAAGTATATCTCAATTTCCTTAATACATGAATATGAAAACTTTTTATGCCCATGTAGAATTTTTTATAAAACAGAATCTGAAATGATGGAAATCAAATTGTGACGGAAGGTGAGGTATAAAAGTGCTAATACTAACAATTTCCTTCCAGCCCTGCATCACCCCTAACATGTCACTGCTTTGGTAATGGGGTGGTAGGTGAGTAGTCACGGCCCTATGGTGGCTTTATAAATAGTACCACAATCAGTTTAGATTTTTAAAAAAATAGTAGTGCTAACTTTTATGTTTTTAGTTTTTGGTCACTTGATATGTAGCTTTCTGTTTGCAGAATTATGTTATATTTTGTGAAAGTATATATGGATGGATAAGAATTATTCCAGGCAGACCCCTCTCCATCCTAAGTGGTGGTCATAGTTCCTGCCTCTTGGAATTTTTTTTGTTGGCTCATGAACACTGTAACATGGTTAGGTGTATTGTATTAAGCAACTAACAACATTGTAAACTGTTGACCCTGTCCTTGATCCATCATTTAAGCCTCAGATTTGGGCAAAGTGAGACATTCCCACAAGTGTTGATAATGTGTTTTTTCCTGAATGACATCTAGCAGGCAATGTGTTGACATTATCACCTCTACCTATCTCTATGATGGAAATAAATTAATCAGATCCTGAAAAGGCATTTTACATTTTCAATTTTTCTCAATTCTTGATATGAATGCACAGTATGTGCACAGACTTCAATGTCAGTGAATTAAGAGTTCATTACCATGATTGTGACATTTACGGTCCATGGGGTCCAGATTTCATGATCCAGGGAGGGGCTAAGACAATCAGTCATTGAAAATGCTTTCTACTTGTCCCTTGGAAGAAACATTTTTTTGCATTTTTGGAAATCATGGATTTATCATCAAATATTTTTTAACTATATCTGAAAATGAATACAGATATTACATGAATTTAAGATGAACTGAATTAATTAGGTGTTCAGAAATCTGTTATACTCTGTGACTTTCAAGGCCAAAGGATACTTGTAGTTTGTTTAAAAGAAATATATATATATATTGTATATTTTATTGCTTTACTACCTAATGTTTCATGCTTTTTTTGAGCTTGGAAGTTAAGTTTTTGCTTCATGTGAAAGTTAGGTTAGAATATGTCTTTGAGTATTTTTTTTTTCATTCATTGTGTGGTTTATTATTGCCTCAAATGCTTGATTAATTTCATTTACTTGCATTTTTCTATTGACTTAATATTTTCATTAATTATACATTCACATATAAATATGTATGTCAATATGTAGAAATCACCCTAGTATGTGGTTTTAGATGTGTTCTAGGTCTTTTGTTCTTTTCTGTGTCTTCTTTTTTTTTTTTAAATTTGGTGATATTATTTGTCACTGTCATAAATGTGAGATGAGCAAAAAATTGAATTTACTCATAGTGTTAAGTATGAATAGAGGATTTATTTTAAAAAATTGCGGTCATTAGCCAAGTATCACCAGGAGAAAAAGTATGAAATCAAATTTCAGAGAAGTGTGTTATAATGTACAGATATATTGGTGGAAACAGAAAATTATTGATTGTAATAGGTTTGAAAACAAGCAGCTGTCAAGAAAAGGTGAAGGAAACGTGATTCTGGAAATTGTTCATATATAATATTTACGTGGATGACGTTTTTCTTTAATCTTGAAAGCTAGCTAGTACATAATGTTTTAGAGGATTGCCATGGCAGTGTATAAGGTTGTTTTCTAAAAGGTTCAGTATAGCATTAATATACAATTGTATATCTAAATTTGATTGACATGTAATATATGGAAATCTCTTTATAAACTGTAGAAAGGGTTTTTTGCTTCCTTGACAATTTCTTGGCTAAAAAAATGTGCAAGTGCTGTTCTTCTGCTAATAATAACACAGTTATGTTTATGTTCCTTTATCATAATACACTGTTCATAATAAACCTAATGACGTGCAGTTTATTTTACATGGTTACTTACAAAGTATGTTGTAAAAACAGATATCTGAAGTCAGATGGAATGTCTAATACACTAGTTTACCTTCTTACAGGGAACAGTGCAGTCATAGGATATAAAGATTCCCAGCAGGCACCAAGTGTAACCTACACAGATGTATCAGAGGGGGGTCACTGGAGCAGCCGAGATCCTTACAGCAACACGGGGAGTCAAACTCAACAGCAATCATTTCACACATGATTACACCTTGACAATTTACACAAGAAATCCACTGAACCTAACTGTGTATATTATTTCTGGGAAAGCTTCCAGTTTGTTTATGTTATGTGATAATTTAGTTGGATTTTATTATATGAATTTTGTTGTGTGTAGAGAGGGGATGTATTATGCATGTGACCAAAAAAGCAGATTATGATTGTAATTAATTAATGCAAATTATATTTGTGTGTGCTGTTTTGATTGGGTGTACTATAAGTACATTCTTGTATATCATGTTTATTGTAATTTATTGATAATGTTTTGTCACTAAAAGATTATGGAACAAATTTTTGAAAGTTATGTAATATTTAAGATCAACTTCTTGGTTTACCTGAAATGCAGATTGTATCATTGTTAAAGTGGAAAAATTAGGTAAATATCTGCATAATGCTTTTAAAAAGTCATTTAAAGTGTTTTATTTATTCATCAAAGACATAATCTTTGTTAAACAAAACCACACCTTTATAGGAAAAAGAAGTTTCAATAAAAATCAAGTGTAGAATTTACCATATTTTAAAAATCAAGATTGCAGTTACTATATTGTATCTTTATTATTAAGTGTAATATGTAAGAATACATATACTTACACTGTTTCACTCTAGCTTATAAAGCTTTTGCATGTAGTTGAACAAATTTTTGATCAGAAGGAATTTCACAAAATTTAAGCTTGTATACAGTATTCTAGATGAAAGATATAATTTGAAATCAAAATTTGACAGATAATTTAGTTATGTAAATCTTAAATCTTAAGGGACATTATAGACTCAAGTTGTTGGATATTTGATTTCTAATGAATGACACCACAAAGTTTTTCATATAGATTCTGGCAGGGAAAAACATTCCAGTAACTAACATTCAGTGTTTTGATCTATCTCTTACCCTTACTCGGTAGTGTCATATTAATGTCATTATACATGTGATGCCATCATTCACCTAATGTCAATCATCCAAGATTGTTTGTAATGTATTCTCTGATTGGCTGTTTACATTTGTAGATGGGTATGATATGGAAAAATAATCAAATAGAGTTGCTTTGTTCTGTATTGATCTTGTCAACAAAAGTTTTAATTCCTTGAAATTAAATTTTAGTCAGAATTGCCACTGAACTCCATGAGTTCAACAAAATGTTTTCATGATAATACTGCAAATGTTGTTAATTTAAAAATTTGTTGGTATTTAAATATTGACACTAAAATTTGGTGTATGTTCTCTTAAGTCGACATCACTTTAAATGTATTAATCAAACAAGATGACATTCGAGACTCAATTTATTCACATGAAATTGTGTATTGTAGTTAGATAGGCAGAGTCAGTATTTTCTGTTAACAAACACAGCCGCTGCTCATTTTACATTATAACAACAATTTAATATTGATCTGTAAGTATTTCAACAGTTAAAGGTTCAAGATGAAAACAAATGTAAATGTGCATCAGAGGTGATGATAATTTTACATTTTATTTTGTTTGCAGTAATTGATTGCCTTAGGGCATTTCTTTTTTTTTTTTGTTACCAGTGCATCTTATTAGATCATTTCTTAGCTTAGCCATACTTTTTCAGTAAGTTACTATTTTTTATGAAGCCATTTTGTCATTAGGTTTGATCAATTAGACAGATTTTCAAAATTAATGACTTAAGTTGGCTATTCTGCATATATATTTGTGCATGTATATGATTTACCATGACATGTGCAGTAATTTATACACAAAATAAATAGTCAGTCTGAACATCATGTTTAGGGATTAATCCATGGCTTGTCTCCAATCACATTTGTTTAACACTTCTATTACATGTGCAAGAGTGTGTTGACAAAAAATTCTGTTGAAATCAAATTGTTTGTATGACTACAGTTTATAAATGAGAAGTAAATGTGATCATCTTTAAGTTTTGTATTCTACGATATGGAATAAACTGATTTTTATTTAGATTCTAATATTTTTTCCTTGAGTTTATTAAGAAGATTCGATGATAGTTCTTGTATCAGGGGAAAATATTGGCACTTATGGACCGATGATGCAAACAAACTTTATCGACCAGTGAGTCCTGTTTATATATAGTGAAATGAACAAGTTTAACCCATAGTTTTTAGCTCTACTGGTCAAAGACCAGAAGAGCTTATGCCATAGTTAGGTGTCTGTAAACCATTATTCAAAACACTACTCCTTCTACAGTTTTGTTTGATTTCAATTTGAATTGGCATACAGATAGACTTCCTTGAGATACACAGTAGGGGATCATACTTTGATTCTGACGAACGGTGTTGTCATTATTATTAAAAATTAACATTTCTGTGAAATTCATTTAAAATGCATTTCCTACAGTTTTGGTCTGATTTCAATATAACTTGGCACACAAATAGACTAAGATATACCATGTAATGCATCGGAATTTGACTTTATTCTGGTCTTTGCCATAGACATTGGAAATGTAATATATATATGCAAAGTGTAAGATTTTCATGATTCCAATAGTATTTCACATACACACCTGTTTTAGTTATAATGCAAAAGAGCCAATCATTATACTATATATATATAAAGTAATGTAATATTGTAATGAAATAAACTTTATTTATCCTAACCCATTTAAACTTATTTATTTAATAAAAAATTATCGAAACTTAAACAGCATCTCTATTTTAAAAAGAGCCTTTGTGCATTTTAAAATTATCGCTTTTATCGGAAAAATATTCCGGATTTTCTTGGACACTGCTATTCATTCTATACTATTGGGAGCAAGCAAAAAGAAAGGTAAAATAGGAAGTAGAGACGTAAGGAAACGAAAATATTGTAAGAGAATTAGCAATTACTATTTTCTTAATGTGAAACGCATGCAATTATCTGTCGGATCAAAACGTAATACAACAGGGTACACTTTGTAAAGAATGAAATTCAGATCCACTTATCAAGTGGGGTTATACTATTATCCCTTTTTTATTCGCAAGAACATTTATTTCGCATTATTACATAACCAAGAAAGTTTTATTAGCAATAATCATCATACTTAAAAGATATTAATTTAAATTAATAATACTCATAATCAACAATATCCAGACGTGCAGCATAACCAGAATTTTTGAAAATTTTTTGCCACTTAAGATACTTCATACCTTTCTGGCAGAAATAAGGTGTTGCGATAATTTGGTGATCTTTAGCTATCAGGGACTATATATGGCCTTTACAATACCTCACTACAGTTACTCACTAAAAATAAGTTCTAACGACACAACACAGACTGATCATCGCAGGGTATATGTGCTGTTAGGTCTATATAAAACATATTTATTGTTCCCGCTTTTGGTAGTTTTAAGAATAAAAAGAGTCCAAAATAACTTTTATATTTTTTTATACTGCTCACAAAACACAAATAAGTTAGGAACAAAAAGGAATATAAAATTAATGGTATAATATACATGTATAACTATTGATGACATTATTTCATCACATATTATGGACCCTTTAACAAACAATATTGTAAATATTGTAAAATATTGTAAATGCACGAAAATCACTGCATTAAGGAAGCACTAATCACTACACACTAAAGAGTTCTATTTGTAGGGTAGTTTTATGCCATTATAGTTATCTACCCTTAGAACTAAGATAGAAAAAATTATTATTTACTAGGGATGGCAATTGATTACAGAAATGCTAATCGGTTAACCGCAAGACGTTCCGACCGATTAACCGGTTAGTTGTATTATTTACAGTTAAGGTAATTCCACCCTCTTATGATGTCAAAGGTTTTTGCAAAAACTGTAATTAGCTTAAATTAATACCTAATAGAACAATATCCTTTGAAAGAATGTTTTACAATAGGTGTAATATTGTTAAGCAAAAGAATGTAAAAATGCATATTTTCTTCTTTTTTTTTTTAATCAATTATTTGATCTATGAAAATGTTGACAAGGGCAGTAACTCCTTCTAAGGTTTCTTCATTAAGGCATTTGCTTTATTGTACTTCTAATGTAAAATAATTTCCCTGATATTCACAATTCAAAAGTATCTTATAAGTAGGAAGTATTTAGGAACATTCAGCATCAGAATATGCATTTTAACCAGTTTTTACATATTTTTCATAATACTGTTTACAAAAAAATGTGCGATTTTTTTATGTTGACATACACTTCTGTTTATTTATGTTTCGCATCTTAAATAATATGGTGACCTATACATTTTTCCAATAATTAGAAAATTTAGAGTATGTTAAATGAAAATAAATGCAGTTTTTATACTTTGAACAATTAAAAATTGTGAGGGTGGAAACATCTTAATTACACAATTTATGTTGGACTAAAATGTTCTTAACATTATTAATATGTGATCAAGAATACGTAATTAAATTCATTATTTCCATTAATTTATCCATTGGGAGCAAGCAACAGTGATTTCTGTTTACAATTTGAACATTTTAGGACGATTTCCACCTTTGTTTGGACTATCATGGCATTCTCGGCGCTATATATACTAAAGTGTCTGTCAAATGGTGAATAGATTCTTATTGGTGAAGAAATTAAAAACATCAGGAATTTAAAATTGTTGTCGAGAACGATGAGACGACTTTAGCGGCACCTCTTTGCAGGAGGAGACAATGTTATTAGTTATTTATGGCACGTCAAATTCACAAAAATGAGCCAAACATAATTTCACAGTCAATAATTAAACTAGGTTTATCGGTTGTAAACTATAGTTTACGGACTGTAAACTATAGTTAACAACGTTAATCTACATTTTACATCTGTAAACCGTAGTTAACGCAATAATCTATGTTTCATAACCGAAAACTATACGTAACACCGAAAACAATCATTCGAGATTGCAAAACATAGATTATCTGATAAATACATTTTCACGATTTGTAAACTATGGTGTACAACTCTTAATTATGGCTAACAATCTGATAAGTATAGTTTCACGATTTGTGAAACTATGATTAACAACTCATAACTATAGTTTACGATTGTAAATGTAACGCTTCGGAACGCCTGCCTTGTGTTGAGAACAAAAACTTCGATGTAAAGTTTTATAATTTTATTCAGTAATACATGAACAGCGAAAATAAATAACAATGTTTGAAATTCACACAAGTCTCAACCCTCGGGACATAGATCTAAGACCAAAATCAGTACAACTACTGATATAGAACTGGGCAACTGGCACTATTTCCAGTAAATTTATGATTTAAATAGAAATTCCCCCGACCAAAATAAAACGTAAAGGCTCTCTATAAATGACTTATAATTAATTTACAAATAAATATTCCCGCTACTAGTTCAACTACTAGCACGCAGCAGAAATATTTCCTAACTCCTAAACTGGGCTAAAGAAGATAAAAATAACTAGTTCACAACTAGTAATTATAAATAAAACTAGTACAATTACTAGTAATAATTAATTTAGCCTAACCTAACATTACACATTATGTACTTCAGTCACACAGATACTGAAATAGTACACACCTTAAATTACTCTGGATAAAACTGGCAACCTTTCTCTAGGTCACAAAGAAAACGAGAGAGCAAACGATATTCAGCATCTGGGTATTTATAGAATTAACAAAACCCGCAATAATTCATAACCAATCATAACTAATAATTCCATCCCGTAAATAATAATCAGCCAATCAAATATAACTATCGTCCCGTAACGAAATCTCACTCTCGTACATCGTATGTAAAATTATTAAAATACGTAAATAAATTAAATACATTCATAAAACATAAAGTTACACTTTTAAAAGCTCTTTTAACACTGTTTAACATTTAATTTAAAAGAATTTACAATCAAATCTTCCGCCGAAATAACTCCAGTAAAAATAGAACACCGTGAAGCATCACGGGAAAATACACAAGTAAACAAAGTATGGCGGCGGCAGAAGTTTCAGTGAAACGTGTGTACTCGAAGACCATAAAACATCGATCACACAAGAAATAAGGTAACTTTAAGATAATCCTGAATTACAGCGCAACTCTACAATTACGTATGAACAATTAAGCCAACAAAAAGCGTGTAATTAAATAACAAGACGAAGTCTGACATTCAACACATCGAAACACAAGAAAAATGGCATAGATCTTCGCTACATTTAAGCAGTTGTCAACCAACATTTAAGACATAACTCTCGCTGGACATTTCAACATTCCATACAAGAATTGATGAATGAATTGAAAGTATGCATGCTTTAGAAAAATGCCAAGATAAAAAAAATGAGATTCAAGAAAAATGGGGGAGGGATCGTTACATTTTGCCCCTCTCTAAGAGTCCAAGTCCCTTTGGACTCAAAATACAAACAATAAAATTCAAATACAACAATTAATTAAGATAATTAATGACATGTTACTACTATTATACACTCGATACACATATACTTAACTTCCATGAACAGTACAGCTAATCAATACACACAAGGGAGACTACTCCAAATAAATGCTGTACTTCACAAAAATTACCTCATAAAATTTTTGTCAACTTCTCAAAAATTCACATTTGTAGTAGTGATGAAGAAATAAAAAATCATAGAAATTTTACAGAATATAAAATTACAATGCCAGCCTTCATGCATATCACAAATCAATATGATAGAAACTTTATACATAAACACAAAATGCCAAATCAAAACATGGAATTCACCATAATCTTGAAGACAAATGAGCAGAGCATTGTATACAGTGTGATAAGGTAAGTAAGTTAAAATGTACATGAATGATAATAATTCAATTAATATTCATTAACTGCCATTTAAAGAATGAGTTTATCTTACAAAAACAATGGATGTACAAGATATTAGCAGCCTCTCTGTTAAATTCATCATAAATACTTGCAAATATACAGCGTCCTGATAACACTAATGCTAATACTTTAAACACTTAAGTTCTATAAGTATAACTAATAATGTATAATCTTTCTTATTTTCATTCACAGGATCACAGAAAAGAGAAATGGACACTAAGGTCTCAGCAAGCAAAAATATCAAAGGTAAATAATATTACAGAAATGAATCTCATTATCATCAGACTTAATGCTTGAAATATCAAAAAAAAAAAAAAAAATTACACATAAAGTCCACAAATCAATCTCATTCCCAACCTTATCTCCAAATTTACAACAAATATTGACAATGCATGAAATGAATACTTTCTTAACTTACTTATACTTATTACTCAAAATTACCAATTTAATTTTGTCCTAGAATCACATCCTATGCTGTCTCCTGCTGCGGAACGGAACGTCTGGTTGCTGGAGAGTATTTGACCACTTCCTCTTTTGTAGGTTTACTTCCTGCCAGTTTCCACTTAAGCACTGGACCAATACCATTATCTTCCATCTGGAGACATTGTAGACTTGATGAGTTGTACTTTGACATCCATTGTGTCCCTTCAGGTAAATTTTTAGAGCTGTCATGCTTTCTTGTCATCACACGAATAGCACCCCCCTGATTAAGGTTTTCTTGAGTTTCCATAGTCTCAGCTCTCTTTCTGCACTTAATACAAGGTCCACATTTCAGGCTTTCTAAACTGTCACCTTCTGAGCAGCTACAGTCGGCTGGGTTCGGACATCTTGATAGACCGTCGGCATTACCATGCTGTGTACCAGGCCTATACTCAATTTCAAAATTGTAGGCTGACAATATTTCAATCCAGCGAGCCACTCTTCCTTTAGGTTCTTTCAGTTTATATAGCCAGACTAATGCTTGGTGATCAGTCCTAAGGATAAATCTTTGTCCCAAAAGATATTGTTTGAAGTATTCCACGAAATAACGAACAGCTAGGAGCTCTTTATCAGTTACACAATAGTTCCTTTCAGCATGGTTTAGGGTTCGACTCCCATAGGCTAACACTTTCTCACGTCCATCTTGTACTTGGCTCAATACAGCACCAATGCCTACATCACAGGCATCTGTGTCAAGAATAAAATGGCCTTGGTTTGGGTCAGGATATCCCATTATATCGGGCCCAGTAAGGATCTTCTTTAGTTGCAGAAATGCTTTCTCGCATAAGTCTGTCCAGCGGAAAGAATGGTTCTTTTGTGTAAGTTCAGTAAGAGGTTTAGCTATCACCGAAAACCCTTTTATAAATCTCCTGTAGTAAGAGGCAGTTCCAAGGAATTGTCGTACTTCAGTAACATTATTTGGTCTGGTCCAATTCAAAATTTTCTCTACATTCTGCTTATCTGGTAAGACTCCATCTTTAGTGACTTTATGTCCAAGAAAAATAACTTCATCTTGAAAAAGGCTACATTTCTCAGGTTTCAATTTTAAACCTGCATCTGTTATTCTTTGAACCACCTGGCTAAGTCTGGACATGTGTTCATCAAAATTTCTGCTAAATATCACTACATCGTCCAAATAAATAAGACAAATGTCCCACTGGAGGCCATTTAATGCCATCTCCATAAGTCTCTGGAATGTACCTGGTGCATTAGTCAATCCAAAAGGCATGGTTTTATACTCGAAATGACCATATTTTGTAACAAATGCTGTTTTTGGTATATCTTCAGCCTTGACTCTGACTTGGTGATACCCAGCTGTCAAATCCAGAGTGGAAAACATTGAAGCTCCTGCAACGGAATCTAGACAGTCTTGAATTCGTGGGAGTGGGAATGCATCCTTAACTGTTAAATTATTTACAGCTCGATAATCTACACAGACCCTTATTTTTCCATTTTTCTTTTTAGCTAAGACCAGTGGAGAGGACCAAGGTGATGTAGAAGGTTGTATTATGCCCCTCTCTCTAAGGTTCAGAATGGCATCTCTCTCCTCATTGGCTAGTGCTATTGGAACTCTACGAGGTGGCTGTTTTACAGGTTTACTGTCACCAGTATTAATCTCATGTTCAACTAAATTGGTTTGTCCTAGGTCCCATTCATCTTTTGAAAATGCATCCTGATGGTCGAGCAAGAATTTCCGAAAAGCTTCTTTTTCTGACTTATTTAAGGACTGGGAAGAGCCTTCATAAAGCTCACGCAAATGATCTGGAACCTCACATGCCTCTCCAGGCGAGAATTCAGTAGATCGACAAAGGCTTCTTAGGTCACTATAAACCGGTCCAATTACATCTACTATTCCCCCATATCCTTCAACAGTACCCACCACTGTGTCTGGATAAAGTGTTTTTCCTTCATCAAAAGGGTTCATAACTCTCAGGGGTACACTCAGTTTCCCTCTGATGTTCAGAACTGCTGGGGCTAACAGTAAGGAGGTCTCCATAAGATCTCCACTTGGCACAAACATAAGGTCCTCTTCAACATCAACCTCACATTCACGCTATACAAAAGCCGGTATTATTACTTCTGTATTCCCAGGTATATCACACCTCTCCACACAATGGAGGGTAATATCTTTATGCACACCACGTTGTATGCATGGAATATCATGACCTTTGAACCTTATCAGTCCTTTACTCAGGAGAATATCTGCTTGACCAATATCACTATTCTGCAGGATGTCCACTCCAAGTAACACTTCATCTTGGATATCAGCTACTAAAAGGATTTTCTTGAGGGCCAAGGAACCAAGTTGCAATTCGAACACTCCTTTCCCATAAACATGAATGGTACTTCCGTCAGCTCCTCGCAAGTGCGACTTTCCTTGAAGTCTGGGTCTGTTCACGTCTTTGAGTTGTTCATACACTTTGTATGAAAGTATAGTATTGAATGCACCAGTATCTGTTGTAATGTGGACATCTAAACCATTTACGTTTCCCTCTATGTACACACCATCTGCATCTGGTATTCGATTAGAAATAAAACAAAAATCTTCTGATTCATCAAAATTATCTGGTTGTCGGTCTGTTGGTGGGTCTAAACTGTTCGTCTGTCTGTCAGTTTCTTCTGTAGCCGGTCCTTGACCCACAGGAACGGCTAATGCCTGTTTAAAGGTGCCTTTGAGACTTGCAGGTCATTAATTCTCTTTGGGCAGTCCCTTATGAAATGACCTTCACCTTTGCAGTAAAAACAGCTACGTTTGTGTGGTCTGTCCAGAGGAGCTGTCTGACTGGTAGACATGTCTGGTTGAGATGTACCAATAATAGGCCTACTTGGCTGTGTCCCAGTGTTGCTCTGCTTAGTCAGGTTGTCGAGAACCTTTGCCATCTCATCGATTTGTTTCTGCAAGGCTTCGATAGTGCCACCTGACCCTTGTTTGTTTCCTTGGCTGTACTTTATATTTCTGACACTTTTCTTTTTCAACGACTTGGCTTTAGTGACTGTCTTAGGCGTGGCTTCTGATTCAGAATCACTGTACAGCGACTTCACCTCTCTGACATGTTTCTTAGTTGAAGGCCGACCTGCTTCTTCATAATTTATAACCTGTCGTACAGCTTCATGTATATCTGAGGGGTCCTTGACGTATTCCACATGAAACTGGGCTTCTGTATCAGCCAGACCATCTAAAAATTTCCTGAGCAAGTCTTCCTCTCTAGTCTTTGAGTCTCGCTCCGGGTGGGCTTTGACATACAGGCGCTTTAGATCAGCCGCAAAGTCCTCGACTCGCTCACCAGGCTTCTGAACTCTATTATTAAATTTTGCCAAATATGTTCGACTGGTTTCGATTGCACGGAAACGATTGGTCAGTTCCTTCATAAGTCTCTTATAACTGCTTCTCGACTCTTTCGATAATTGGCCATACACAAAGTCAGCTGCATCTTCATGTAGTCTGGGCAGTAATTGGTCCAGTTTGTCATCTGTTGTCCAGTGGTATCTGTCTGCAACTTCCTCAAAACGACAAAACCAGACAGACCAGTCTTCTTTCCCTGTGTACAGAGGAATCTTTACATTGTGATGCTTGGCCTTTTTCCGGTACACAAAGTCAGACTCTTGCGATGTTTCTCTGTCGCTACTCAAACACTCATGAAATGCACTACACGTATCTGATTGTCTGTTGTCAGGGTTGGTCCTTTGGTGGTCTTGTTCAGAGAGCTGTTTAATTTTCTCTTGTAAATGCTCTACCATCTCCGTGAGCTGGATAAGTGCAGTTTGCTCGTTACTCGTACTGGATAAGGCTCTTGCACTTCTCATGGGAGCAGAGAGGGTCCGATTCTGCATCACAGGTACAGAACCTGTACACAAACTCACAGGTACAGAACCTGTACTTAGACCAACAGGCACAGAACCTGTACATGTACATAAGCTTACAGGTACATTACCTGTACAAGAACTTACAGGCACAGAACCTGTACACAAACTTAGAGGTAAATGAGTTCTCATGCAAACGCTGTGAGCTGATGTTGTAATTGTGGGGAATGGGGTAAACATATGGGCGCTCTGGTTTTGATGACCATAAACAGGACCTTGAAAACTCGCAGTATAAGGAACTGCATATGAGCTTACAGGTAAGGTATTGTAATAATTTGTACCTGTACATGAACTCAAAGAAGTGCTGTGTGTATGAGAGTTCACAGGTAACCCAGATACTGGACTTGCTGTCTGTGTAATGGAGGGGCTCATGAGAGTACCGGTACTGGAGACTGCAGGTATATACATACCAGGGACAGCTGTCGGCTCTCTAGGAAAACCTGTACATAAATTCTCAGCAAAATGTGAGCAAACAGGTACAAAAGGCATCTGAGTTGTGGGACCACAGGTGTGAAGATGGCTCATTTTAGGTGTAACTACACTGTGTGCTGTCTGTGGCTGCTCTGTAGTAGAACTCACAGTTACAGACACTGTATCTGAGTTTCCAGTAAAAAGTGTAGATTCTCCGTCTCTCACAACGTCTGCCTGAGAACTCACAAGCATTAAACTTGTATCTGAGTCATGTAAATTTGCTGACTGGGAGGCTTCTTTATTTGAATGAACAAATGGCTTAGTTCTGTGCATGTCAGCTCCTTCACACGGAAATTCACATTCGCTTTCATTTTCTCTTGCAGTTTCTACGGAGGAGCACGAAATCCGTGAGGTAGATCTAGATTCTTGAAGACCACGACGCCTCCGTCGACTTTTACGACCTGCCATTGTGATTTATTTTTATTCGATGTTTGCTTAATAAAATTTTTGTTTCTCAAACACAGACAAAGCGTTGTTATGATTCGATCACAGGACCCGTAAACTTAAACGGATCATTCGATCACAGGACCCGTAAACTTAAACGGATCCCGCCGTGGATGCCAAAATTGTAACGCTTCGGAACGCCTGCCTTGTGTTGAGAACAAAAACTTCGATGTAAAGTTTTATAATTTTATTCAGTAATACATGAACAGCGAAAATAAATAACAATGTTTGAAATTCACACAAGTCTCAACCCTCGGGACATAGATCTAAGACCAAAATCAGTACAACTACTGATATAGAACTGGGCAACTGGCACTATTTCCAGTAAATTTATGATTTAAATAGAAATTCCCCCGACCAAAATAAAACGTAAAGGCTCTCTATAAATGACTTATAATTAATTTACAAATAAATATTCCCGCTACTAGTTCAACTACTAGCACGCAGCAGAAATATTTCCTAACTCCTAAACTGGGCTAAAGAAGATAAAAATAACTAGTTCACAACTAGTAATTATAAATAAAACTAGTACAATTACTAGTAATAATTAATTTAGCCTAACCTAACATTACACATTATGTACTTCAGTCACACAGATACTGAAATAGTACACACCTTAAATTACTCTGGATAAAACTGGCAACCTTTCTCTAGGTCACAAAGAAAACGAGAGAGCAAACGATATTCAGCATCTGGGTATTTATAGAATTAACAAAACCCGCAATAATTCATAACCAATCATAACTAATAATTCCATCCCGTAAATAATAATCAGCCAATCAAATATAACTATCGTCCCGTAACGAAATCTCACTCTCGTACATCGTATGTAAAATTATTAAAATACGTAAATAAATTAAATACATTCATAAAACATAAAGTTACACTTTTAAAAGCTCTTTTAACACTGTTTAACATTTAATTTAAAAGAATTTACAATCAAATCTTCCGCCGAAATAACTCCAGTAAAAATAGAACACCGTGAAGCATCACGGGAAAATACACAAGTAAACAAAGTATGGCGGCGGCAGAAGTTTCAGTGAAACGTGTGTACTCGAAGACCATAAAACATCGATCACACAAGAAATAAGGTAACTTTAAGATAATCTTGAATTACAGCGCAACTTTACAATTACGTATGTACAATTAAGCCAACAAAAAGCGTGTAATTAAATAGCAAGACGATGAGTGACATTCAACACATCGAAACACAAGAAAAATGGCATAGATCTTCGCTACATTTAAGCAGTTGTCAACCAACATTTAAGACATAACTCTCGCTGGACATTTCAACATTCCATACAAGAATTGATGAATGAATTGAAAGTATGCATGCTTTAGAAAAATGCCAAGATAAAAAAAATGAGATTCAAGAAAAATGGGGGAGGGATCGTTACATAAACTATAGTTTTCAATCGTGAATCTATATTTATCAACAAAATCTATTGTTAACGCTTTATTACAGACAGATAAACTTAGATCAGCATTTGTAACTATAGTTAGCAACCGTTAAATATAGCTTTACAGAGGAAAACTATAATAGTTAACGAATTGTTAACTATATAACTATCATCGTATAATATGCCATAGTTTCTTATAATAGTGATTTTGAAGCTGTTCATCAAATATAGACAAAATTTTAATTAATTGTGTCGTTTGGTCCAATGAACTCTACTCACGATACCAACCAATGTCGGACTCTAGATGTGCCAAGGACACCAAACGTAAAAGGTCTTCTGAATTAAGTTTCACTGAACACTTATCATCTCGAAGACGTATCACGTCTTCCTCATCCTTGCCAGACATTTCTAATCTGTCAGCCGAGATGGCCACTAACTTTGAGCCCAGTCAATCAAAAATCCCATCATCCTCTCCTTTGACCCCAACATCTACAGTCTTAAGTTCATCACCTGACCCAAACAAAAGTAATGGCTCTTCAACAGCTATAGTTGACTCCAACGGGGAGATACAAACATCCGCCATAAATGAACTAATTGTTAAGGCCGTTCATAGTCAGGCTTTCATGGGGGCATTTGCTCCACTTATTGCATCTGCTATCACTCCCCACATCCAACTTATCGTTCAAAGTTGTCTCCAGCCCATCCTAAGTTCAATTAAGGAACAGCAAAAAGATATAGAAGAGCAAAATGAGGAAATAAAAACCTTAAAAGAGAGTAATGATGAATTAAAACGTAGAGTAGATGATTTAGAGTATGGGCTAGACAACCTAGAGCAGTATGGTCGCAGACCTTCTCTACGCTTCCATAATGTCCCGTTACCTGAGCCAGGCGAGGATGGGAAAAGAGAGCCACTCGACACTGAATCCGCAGTTATCCAGATCTGTGCAGGAATGGGTGTTACTATCACTCCTGATGATATAGATAGATCTCATCCTATTGGTAGCCCAAAACAAAATAAAATTCAAATCATTTGCAGATTTAGAAATTGGAAGGTCAAAAACAGAGTTTACAGCGCAAAAAAAGAATTGAAAAACAATGTCAATAAAATTTTTGTGACGGAAGACTTGACCAAGTATAGACAAGCCTTAGTTTCTAAAATCATACAAGCAAAAAAATCAGAAATCGTCCATAGTTTCTGGACCTACGACGGGAGAATTTTCATTAATTTTGAAAAGAAGGGACACCGTTACGAAGTACGTTCATTCGAGGATCTTGAAAATCTCCTTAACGGGTAAATGAATTATAAATAACCAAAACATGTGAGACATTCATCAAGACTGCCACTTACAATCCCAAGGATACAAAATATCAAAATATCAATTTACGTATCATATTATATTATATGTAGCTATTAAGCACTACATTTATGTAAATATAGCACTATTCACCCACTTGCTCTCCTTTGATTATGTCATTTGGTTTCTTTTTGTTCATGGTGATCGGTCGTTCTTTTGTACATATGTCATTTATGACTGAATCACATAGATTTCCATTTTTGTTTTGTACTTTATTTTTTTGTCTTTTTACCCCCATTTTATTTTGTTTTTGTTTGTTTTTCTCCATTTTCATGTGTTCACAGTCTTGTATGTATGCTCCGCCCAATTTGCGATATTGCTGTCACAAATTATACCTTGCGGCTTTACGATCTATTTTTAAAGAAAAATGTATCAATATTTTAATCAAAGATAGGTAATTCTATCGAGCAATATCGAGCCGCTATTGGTAACTTTTACTGCAATAGCAGATGTACGATCCAAAAGGTGTTCTTTACTTTTTTAGATGTCAAAAATCTACATTTATATTTGATAAACTCTAGCAAGAAATGGTTTAAACTACAAAAAATGTGTGGTATTTTTCAAAACGTTTTGCATCTGCAATTTTGGTTTCAAATTATTTTTTTCTTGCATCTTTTGTCAGGGGACATTGAAATAAATCCGGGACCTACAAATGATCAAATACACAGTCACATTGGATATATTTCATTTAAACATCAGAAGTTTACGACATAAGATTGAAAATGTAACAGCATTAATCACGGATTTTGATATTTTACGTTTCACGGAAACACACTTGGACTCAAGTATTTGTAATAGTGACATTATGATTGAAGGTTATGATACAATTTTTCGCAAAGATAGAAATTCTAATGGTGGAGGTATCATTATCTATGTTTCTTCATGTTTTCGTGCTATTCGTCGCATTGACCTTGAACCCATGTCAATCGAATGCGTCTGGATTGAAATAAGTGAACCTACCTGTAATCTTTTCCTTTGTTGTATATATCGTCCACCCAATAGCGAAAAATCCTTTTGGGACAAATTTTTATGGTCAGTTGAAAAAGTATCAGATATATCCAACAAATTTATAATTGTAGGTGACTTGAACGTTGATTTCCTTGACAATACTCGCACACTTCCTATTAAAGACATCATGCTGAATTATCACTTGACAAACACAATCAGCGAACCGACACGATCTACATACACTTCGAATACTCTTATTGACCCAGTTTTGATCAGCTCAGACCTTGTAGCACTCCACTCAGGCGTGATAAACACAGAGAGTACACTAACTGATCATAAAGCAACTTATGTTTTTTTAAAATCTAGTATCATCAAAAGGCAACCTTATGTTAGGAAAATATGGGATTACAAAAATGCTAATATAGAAAAACTTAATAACCTTATAGAAAATGCTGACTGGGAAAATCTTATTTGTAATGCAGAATCAACTGACGAAGCTACCGAAAATTTTTCAACCAAATATTTAGATCTCGTTAGGGAATGTGTACCGGAAAAATCAGTATTAATAAGACCTAAAGACAAACCTTGGTTTGATTCACTATTAAGGAAAACCCATCGGGAAAAACATAGATTGAGACGAAAAGCACAAAAAAGTGATAAACAAAGTGACTGGGATAATTTTAAGCATATAAGAAATAAATTTAATAACATGAAAAAACATGCTATTGAAAATTATCAAAATACTCTTGAATTACAACTTATTGATTCAAGTAAAAACAACTCTAAGCTTTACTGGAAACTTCTAAGAGAAACTTTTAAAAGTAAATCAACCACAGACATCCCCCCTTTACAGTACACATCTGCATCAGGTGATGTTAATTTTGCTTTTTCTGATGAAAATAAGATACAGGTACTCAACACTTATTTTGCTTCAATTACATGTGTTGATGATGAAACGACTGAATTACCTAAAGAAAACATTGAGTGTAATAGTGCTTTTGATAATATCTTTATTTGTGAACAAGAAATTATTGATATTTTATCTATATTACCTGTCAATAAAGCCATTGGAGAAGACTGTATTAGCCATAAAATGTTAAAATCAACAAAATTATCTGTTGTTAAACCTCTGTGCTTATTGTTTAACCGTTCATTGAAAGACTGTGTTTTTCCAAAAAAATGGAAATTAGCTAATGTAATCCCTTTGTTTAAAAAAGATGATCCTGCAGTTTTATCTAACTATAGACCTGTTTCATTGTTAAGCTGTGTCAGTAAAGTGATGGAACGTATTGTATTTAAACACTTGTACAACTATTTTCACTCTAACAATATTTTTTATAAATACCAGGCCGGTTTCTTACCTGGTCACTCTACTGTATATCAGTTGTTAGAAACATATGAACATTGTTAGAAACATTGATGAAGGCAAATCCTGCTGTTTGATTTTTTGTGACTTATCTAAGGCCTTTGACCGTGTTTGGCACAAAGGACTCTTATTTAAATTAAAAATGTATGGTGTAAAGAAAGATATGTATAGTTG